TGCTGTCAAGTCTGTTGAAGAATGTAGCTTCATCTCCCGTCTAACAGCCATGAGATTAAGAGTGTGATCGGAGAGTTTTTGTGTTCTTCTGCGGCGGGTCTTGCAGAACTTAGCTCCGACCGCATGGACAGTTTCCACGAGCTTGTCATTCATATCGTCCACTTCATTGCAGTCTTCTAGGCACTGAAAACGGTTTTGTAACTCGAGCTGAAAGGTTTCGGGACTTTGGAACAGAGCACGAGGGGGACGGAGCGTTGACTTCATTAGACGAGACCTCTCCAACTTAACGTTTAGGTTCAGTGTGCCTCTAACCATTCGGTGATCGCTACCAGTTTTCACCCTCGCGATCACGGAGACATCACTGAACAGTTGTCGTCTGGTCGTCATAATGAAGTCAATCTCATTTTTTGTCGAACCGTCGGGGCCCGACCAGGTCCACTTCCTGTGGGGCCGCTTTTGGAAGAAAGAGTTCATCATAAAGAGTCCCTCTTTCTCCATGAAGTCGGCCAGCTGCTGGCCCCTTGGGTTCCGTTGCCCTATTTCAAATTTCCCTACTTTCAGCTCACCGTTCTCTCTTGTGCCTAGTTTTGCATTGAAGTCTCCCATTAACACCGTATATTGGGTTTTGGAGGAATGCATGGCTCTAGAGATATCCTCATACATTTCCTCCACCTCCCCATCGGGGTGTGCCGAGGTTGGTGCGTAAACCTGTATGACCTTCAGCGAATACCGTTTGGTAATTCTGAGTATAAGGTACGCAACCCTCGTCGACACACTCCCGATCTTTACAACGTTGTTAACGAGAGACTTGTGGACGATAAATCCGACATCTCCTTGGGACAGATGGTCGCCCTCCCGGTGATAGAGCAAGTTGCCGGATTCGAGGATTACCGTGTCCTCCCCCTCTCTTCGGACTTCGGATAATCCTATAATATGCCAGCGCAACTTGTCTATCTCTTCTTCCAGCTCCACGATCTTCTCGTCAGTCCTCAGGGTGCGTGCGTTGTACGTTGCCAGGTCGAGTCGTCTAAGGTGGCAACCGAACCTCCACCGGAGATTCTTAGCACCCCCTGGCCCGCCGTTACCATGGTCGCCACCGTAGCCAGGAATAGCGGGGCCGCCGGGGACTGGGGGCCGTCTCTTTGTTACATTCATAGGGGGGTATTTGCCATAGTTGCCACGCTTGGCGAGCGGGTTGGCAACCGCAGTTTTTTTATTATAATTTTGGCTATTATCAGGAAGATGCTGCTGCCCATCTCCTGCCTGTTTCCCTTTGTCGCCTTTTACGACACCCACGGGAGGATATGGGGTAGTGGTATTCTTGACCGCCACTACACGGTATATAATTTGGGATAGATTTTAGCAAATCCGGAAGATTATTCCATGCGTTGAATATAAGTGCCTCAACTCGAGCTATTTCTTTTAAAGCTGTTCATTTTTGTTGCGTTACGTACATTCATTTCTGGACCTCCAACGCTTTCAAATTGATTTTCAACTCTGTAGATTTTTAACTCCACAAAGCTTTACTTATTAAATCGATCAATTGCATTTCTAGAGATCCAGTATCAACTCCAAATGGCTCAGTGTGGATCGATTTTTAAATGATTTTTTTTTATAAATTAAATAATATTTGCGTATGAAACTAAAGAGCCGCAGCTTCACATCCAAAGAGCCGCATGTGGCTCGCGAGCCGCAGGTTGTCGACCCCTGCCCTATCCCATATCAACCCCCTGGATGTCGTAAGAGGTGACACAGGGAAACTGAAACACGAGATGTGCAGAAGTATCTTCCTAGTACCAACTCAAAAAAAAATAAGATAAAAACGTGAGACAATATACAGGGTTATTTTACAATAACCGGCCAAATTTGCAGAGAAAGTTCAGATTAAGTAATATTTTTTTATAGGAAAGGGGGCAAACGAGCATGCGGCTCACCTGATGATAAGTGACTACCACCGCCCATGAACAACTGCAACACCAGGGGAACCAGGGCAATTGCAGATGCGTTGACGGCCTTTTAAAAAGGAGTAGGCTCTTCTCTTGAAGGTCCCTAAGTCGTATTAATATAGGCACATGGTGAAAAAAATGAATTTAAAAAAATCTCAAAATTCTGTCGTTTTATCTTTTAAATTCAAAATGAGTGGTAATGCATTATTTTAAATTATTTTACTGAACACATTCGTTAGGGTCGATCGGTAGGCAAAAACGTATTTGCCCATAAATCACATTCAATTTGGAATAATTTCAAGTAAAAGTAGAAGCCTTATTTACTCTTATTTTCGAATACTAGAAAAATAACCCTGTATAGAGAAGGCCTATGTTCAGGTGTGGACTTTTGATAGGCTGTGTAATTAATTATTAATGAACTTAGTACCTAACTATACTTACAAGGAAATTAAAAAAATAAAAAGTAAATGAACACTTTCCCACCATTTTCCAATTGCTTTCTGTCCGCCAAAATGAGTGATTCTAACAAAGAAGAAAATGGGATTGGAAGGGCATCGTTTATTATGAGTTTTTATAGCCGGGCAAAACCATAGATTCCGATCTCTACTGCCAAAAACTAATGAGACTCAAGTTAGAAATTGAGAAAAAACGGCCGGAATTGATCAACAGAAAAGAAGTGACCTTTCATCATGATAACGCCAGACGACACACATCTTTGGCCACACAGCAAAAATTGAGAGAGCTTGGTTGGGAAGTGTTAATGCATATAGTCCTGACCTTGCATCCTCAGATTTTAACCTGTTTCGGTCTTTCTCTTCTTTGGGTAGTGTTAGGTTAACATCAAGAGAGGATTGTGAAAATTACTTGTTGCATTTTTTGATCAAAAATCCCAAGATTACTGCAGCAACGGAATTATGTAACTACCTACAAGATAGCAACAACTTATGAACAAAATGGCACAAAAACACTATAATTAAATGTATGAATGTCAAAAATGTCATGAATTTGTATATAAAATACAAAGAAACTTCTCCCCGACCTGATATGTATAAACATATATAGTAGTGGCGGGGTTAGAAAAAAAAATAACGATATTAAAAAAAATTACTTATGATATACGGTTTATATACTGTAGCTATATTATAGTTGCAGCATGAATGGGTCGGCTCGACTTGGGAAGGACACGCTCTAACAGAATACCAGCGTTCGTATGGTGAGTGTAGAGAACCGGAGACCCTTTTTACTGGAAACGAGGCGTTGCATCCAACCAAAATGCACATCAGTTCAGTCACTCCTGAGGACTAACCTCAGGAGTGACTGAACTGATCTGCATTTTGGTTCTTAATCGAGGATATGTTGATTGTGATGTGTAGTGGATACTGTGGCCAGTATACATTTACCATCAGGTGGGCTGTATGCTTGTTTGTCACCGTTTTTCTTCGTGAAGCTTTTCGCATTAAGCTTACTTTCGTACCTTCGAATTAATTTCGGACCTTGCACAATTTAATATTACTGTCAGTTGGTAAAAACATATATCAGACAAACTTAATGTACCTATTTCGTTAGGTTATCTTTCATTCGTCATTCCAAATATAAATTCTTCATTATTACAAATATGAATTTTCTTTTCATTAACTCTGTTACTTTAGCCAGTTCTACAAAAATTGTGAATTGCCTGTAGTATCAAAAACAAGAACAAAATTGTGTTATTGCGAAAATGTTGACTTCGACTAGCATCATACAAAACCAGAATCCACGGCGCAGTAGCTAGATCCTCTGACAACAATCCTAAGCAGTTGTTAATTCATTAAAACATATTATATTACTACACAAAAATTATAAAACGAATTTACCGTACTATGAAGAACTTTACACAAAAGTGTTTTCTTTCTTTTTGTAATTTTCAGTAAAAGTAGTATTATTGACAATAAGTAATAATTTATGTTGGCGTTGTAAACATAAACAGTTTTACAAAAGTGATTCACACTGAGAAAGTTTAAAATTTCTGTAAAGTATTTTCGTTTTATCCGTTCTAGTTAATATTTCTGTAAACTCTCTCGTAATATCTTTGTACATAAACGTACACTTTCGAAACTTACACAAATTTGTCTTTTCAATTGATTGACTTTTGTTCTATGTTACGTTATCAATTGCAGTTTAACTCTTATTTGCATACTTAACCTTAAGTGAAAGTTCGGGGCAGTTCCTTCCATACTAATGTTTAAATATTTTAAAATTCAGTTCCAACCGTGTTTGCTCATACATTTCTCCAATATAACATTTAATCGGCAAATATATTGAATAAATTAGTCAATCGGACATAAACAGCCCCTCTTCAAAAATCATAGATCAGTAACCAAGATCGCAGATTAACTTGGTTAGCAATGTAAATTTTTGTTACAGAATAAACATGTTTGATTATTTTTAATTTTGAAATTTAGAACAGTTTTAATGGAAATAATTATACGAGTATGTTCGTGTTATGTGACGTCGAAATTATATTTTATATAAACATATTTCAAAATGTAAGAGTCAATGTCATTATTTGAATTTATATGGTGATGTTATATTTTATAAAATATATGAAATATTTTAATTGTATTTATTTATTTTTTTAAATAACTATGTTATGTTATAAAGAAAACTACACTTAAATTTGTCGTATCTGCGGAGTCGGTGATCTTAGTCTAACGTGGCTACCATCACTACTTTCCTTCCCTGCGTGAGTGACGTAATTCTATAAAAGAGAGTGCAATGAAGACGCCGCCGCTATACCGTTTCCGTTCGTCAGGCTCGACCATAGCGTCTCAACCAGCGACATAGAAGGACGCGAGCGGAACCTCTTCCGCTGGAGCCCACAAGGACTCAACAGTGAAAAGTCAAAAGGTGAAGTGCCCTTCGAGGACATTTAGTGTTCGTGTCGTGACGGTGATAGTGTTGTGATAACGTGGTAGCAACAGTGTCCGTATGATAGTGGCACGTCAGATGTGGCACTGTCGCGATCGCGATCATATTGTTGGTGATAATTAAAGCCTTGTTTGTTTCAGATACGAGATGAGGTCGTTATTATTGTTAGCGGCGGTGTGCTGCTTAGTGTTGTCGGCGTGGGCGAGTCCTATCGCGAAGCCTGAGGATGACAAGGAAGTAGGCAGGCAATCGGCAGCCGCACCCGCACCAGCTCCAGCAGCTTCTGCTGAAGATGAAGATGATGACGACGACGACGACGATGATGATGGGACGGCTGATCCGTTCGAAGGTAACACATTTCTTATCCTTATATTGCTAAACATTATGTTTTTATCATATAAATTTATTTAATGAAAATATCTGGAACTATTATTAGTAAGATAAATAAACGAACAATCGATTATGAGTGTAAATCAAGTATAAAAAGCGTTCATATTTGTTAAAGCTATTTACCGTTAAATGGAATCGACGTAACGGTAGATTATTACATCTTTGAAATGTATATAAGCATATGAGCTATCGAGTAGCTTATTACGGTTTTGCATAGTTGAGGAAACGACAAATTTAATACCTTTAAAAATACATTCCAATTTAATAACCTAACCTTTAATTTTGCTCAATTAATAGAGAAACTTAAACAATTCAATGTTTTATAGGATATTTTAATTTATATTATTTAAATAATATATAAAAAGTAATTTAAAATATACCAATAGTTATTAAATTCAATGTATATGTTACAAATGAAATCAATTATCTTTACTGAAATTCGTATAATGAATACACTTACTAAAAGTTACACTTAAAAAAGTTAAGTTAAAAGAAAATACCTATTAAATGTTTCGAAATTAATAGACCATAATGTTAAAAATATCATGTTATCTTGAAAGTATTACATTCCATCGATAAAATGCCTAACAATCAGAACGTAGCCGGTCCAGTGCAGTATGTAAACCAAAAAGCGTGACAGGTGTTCCCATTTGATAATTAATTTAAACAGAAAGACTCAATCATAGAAAATGACGCTCTTCGACTTTCTACGAGTATCTTCGAAAGCCTTGTACAGGACGTCGCTCAGGCAACATTTATGATTAATCGTTTGTTACGATACAGTTCAATTGTTTACTGTAAAATTATTTAAATTGATTTACGCTTTATGTTAAATAGCTTTAGAAATATTGGACCAATTTCAATTAAGTAGTAATATATTTAATATAGTTTATTTTATCATTTTATTTATAAGTTTTTAATTAACAGATGACGACGACGATGAGGACGATGAAGACGATGACGATGAAGAAGCGGATGATGATGAAGATGATTATGACCTGGAAAGATTCTTTGATGATATTTTAGGAGGAGGTGAGTCATTTCATTCTTATAAATAAACCAATTTAACAGCTCGTAGGTTTTGCTTCATAAATAGAAATTGTTCTGATATAAAAATTGTTTACAGAGGATGACGACGATGACGACGATGAACCTTCAGCTGTTCAGCCTGTTGCGGCTCCAGCTGATGTAGTTGCTGCTGCACCTGCTGTTCCCGCTGCTTCCGCAGAAGAAGTGCCTACGATTCCCGAAGAAGCAGAATCGGTAGAGGGAGAAACTATAGCGGATGCTGAAGAACCTGAAGCTGGCCAAAAAGAGCCCGCTAGTGCTGAAGTAGAAAGCCCAGCTTCTAGCGCGGAAGCTGTTGCCCCTGCTGATACTGATGCTGAAGAAGATGATGAGGAAGAGGACGATATAACTGACGCACTAGATCCTGAGGAAGATGACGACGATGATGACGATGACGAGGAAGAAGATGACGATGACGAGGATGACGATATCTCCGATGCTCTTGGCAGGAAAATCTCTTCTAAGCACTCACGTGAGTCTAAAAAGTTGAAAGCGCAGTTTGCTGCACATACGAAAAAAAGTGGGAAAAAGGTCAAGCACGTCGGTAAAGTAAAGAAAACTAAGGCAACATCGAATGTAGTCGTTGCAGACCACAAAAAATTCAGATAGTGAATTAAGCAGTACCGAAATTTCGGACAAGTCATGCCCTCTCAACCACCTGAGAGTTCCCCACGGTCCCCTCCCCTAGGTTTAGTTATTTATTAACTATTTATTTATTCTATTTTTAATTTAATTTATTTAATTTATTAAGTGAGCGTGCTTGATGTATGTCAGTGTAAGTATGATGCATAGAGAGTCAAAGTTAAATTAATGTCTAGATCATGTCACATTGACTTCGTGGCAATTTATATGAAATAAATCTGTTTGTTCTAATTCTTGTGTCAACTTTTTTAATTTACCTTTTAATTTAAATCACTTGTGCGTTTGAACCAAATTAGAATATTATTTTTGAGAGCTATCGGTCAGAATTCTAGTTGACTGATTAATGTTGTCAGTAAGAAGTGACATTATCTAGTAATTAATTTAATTTTCGAATATAATGTTTGTAAGAATAATATTATAAATGTATACTAGTCAAAATTAATTTACATATCTCATCCTTATTATATGTATATAATAACAAAACAATGTTTTATCAATACGTAAAAAACATATATTTATTAAAATAAGTATATTATCATAGAACCTTCCCATATAAATAGTTTATGTAACTAGCTTTTTGACCGATATATCTAAGTATTAAGTCTAACGCACATAATAATAAACCCCATTCCTTGTATCCTTGACATCCTGCTGTTGTCTATTAAAGACGATGAAATAACGTTGATGGAAGTAACCAACGTTAAATGGTGGTCTAGAAATCTCATGTGCATTACAGTGCAGTAGTATAATAGCGAGTAAGAACAAGTTTCATGTAGATGTATGTTAAGGGGTCGGCATTGGACATCACGTCCAACGACCGCTTACTTTCTCATCCGGAGTTAGTTCGATGACCCCAACCGATTTCGTATACAGCCTTGACACTTTCTTTAACCTTGGTCCCTCTATAACCAGGAATGACCTTCACAGTCCAGAAAGCTATGTGTCAATATAAATCATTGAAAGCAACATTGAGATAACATTTAATTTACTCTCACTTTATGACGAATCTATTGCGAAATTTCCGTGTCGCGGGTCCGGCTCAGTGAAAACCAGATAATGAAATGCGAAAAGAGAAATTTTAAATATTTACCGTCGTGAAATTCTGGGCGAGTCGTGAAGAGTCAAATTTGACCTAAATGGAACTAGTTTGAAATCGGTAACACCTTAAGTGGCTTGATCAAGTGCGGCTTACAGCAGATTTCACGGAAAAGAAAACAAATTACCCTAAAATAGATATAGTAACGTGCTCCAATATTTTTAATCTGGGTTACACAACCAGGATATTGCATAACACATTGAAAAGTCGCAAAAAGATCATAATAGCATTTACCATAACATTCGCAACTTTTTAATAAATTTAATTGATAATTCCGTAATAGCAAACAGGTTTATCGAAGCTAGCTGTTCCATGTATAAGATTTCTTGTATATGCTTTACTCGGCACGCAATTTCTTTTACGTGTGAAAAATAGAAAATCCATCGTTGAGTGGTCCCATTAATTGTAGTCCGCCATTAGAATTCAACCGGGGATCGGGTAGACTAAAACAGTTACTTGTTCGCGTGCCTTCCCAACGTGCTTTGAATCATGAATGTGATATATGAATTAGCTGTCAGCTGAATTCTTAATTGTCGACTGCTATACGATACTTGCATTCTATCACGACATTATATGTAAATATAAAAGTAAGTTGGAGCGGAATAAGTTTCTACGAGAGATTGAATTTTAATGTGCTTTCTCCTACTTTGACTGAATCGTATCACTTATTCATAAAACATCAAGACAATTCTAATTAAGGAAATGTTTCAATTTTAATACAAAAATAAGAATTTATTTTTGATATATTAACGCAAATCTTATGTTTAAGTTTCGTTTTATATTCATTAAAATAACAATAAAATTACATGGAGAAGGCTAGGAATGGATCATTATAATTTTTTGATGATTTTGGTTCTAAAATATTTTTGTGACGTTTGCAAGTGAATCAGGCCATTAGCAAAATTTCGCGAATCAAAGTTAGGGCTTAATATATCAAGCACTAAGTTCAAATAAAACTAATACGGTCACAATAATAAGGATTTATCTTTTAATAATTATCCGCCGACAATGAAGACAATACATTTCGATACGCATAATGCCGTTAAAGAAATTTCTAGATATAATTATTGTTACAAATAATGCCTTAAAAATGCCGTATAGATTTTGTCGAGACATGTTTTTACGTCAATAAGTAGTGTTTTGATAACGGTACGTCTTATTTATTACCTATATTGTTGTATTGCCTACGATACATAGAGGACACACTGCAACTAGATTCAGGTATAGCAGGCAAATAATCCACTAGTGATGGAATGGGTTGGGCCCACTCAATCTATTAATACCAGCGTATACAATAGGTATTCTAAAACATTAATGGTGAATGACGAGGATCGGAGGCACACGCTTTTGTATGAAGCCATTATTTTTGTCATTAAGGAGGATGACACAATTAGCTGGTATATAGACGTTTATATTTCATATGACTAGAATAGTAAACAGAATTTCGTTGCAATTTACATTTAAATTAGAAAAGAACCGAAGAGTTCAGGGGCTCGGTTCCAGCGGCACCAATAAAATTGTTAGCTACAATTTTAAGTGCCGATTTACTAAGTGCTCGGCGGTGAAAATATATCGTAAAACACGTGCATGTCCGAAGAATTAAAAAAATCGAAAAGATGTGAAGTCCGCCAACACACATTGGGGCAGCGCAGTGGATACTTATTCCATGCTCTAAACCTCTCCAAAAAAAGAGAGGAGAAAACTATGCCCAGCAGTGGGACGTGTATAGGCTGTAACTTTACACTAAAATTACTGTTCGCTTTGATTGTATTCAAGTTTAGTTATAAGGGTTCTGTGTTTCAAAGGATAAAACGGAATCCCTATAGTATCATTGTTGTCCATACGCCCGTCTCTCCGTTTGATCGTCAGTTTGTCCTTTAATTTGATCCGACTTAGTTTTTGTAAGAGCAACGTTCGGTACCTAATTAGTTTATAATTCCGGGAACTATCTATGGTATAAAGTTACATAATAAGTATATAGGGAGCTCTTAGGGCGAGTCTTACTTGACAAACAAATATAAAGTAAATATTACATAAATCGTAGAAAAACGAAAGTTGTATTAAATGCAACTGTATAACGGATTATGGATATCATTATTACTATATTCACTTGTGCAAGAAATATTTGTAACTAGTTGTTCTCCGTGACTTCGCCCGCGTGTAAATTAGGGTTTTAATAATGTTGCGCAGAACCATAATTCTTTTTCTCTAATATAAGTAGCCTAAGTTACTTCTTATAACATCAGCTATCTGCCAGTGAAAGTCCTGTCGAAATCGGTCCAGCCGTTTCGGAGATTAGCCGGAACAAACAGACAGACAAAAATTTTAAAAATTGTGTTTTTGTTATAAGTACCGTATATACTTTCATATGCATTTAGTAAAAAGCTGGTATTTTGACATTACAAACAGACACTTCAATTTTATTTATTTGTATAGATTGAGAGCTCAACTCAAGTAAAGTTTACAATTTTTAAGACGTCACAATGTACATAAAGAGTTCAAAAGTGACATTAACATCGCAACTCTGTCTTAATTTATGTACTCATGTAGTTAGTTTTGCTGCTTCAAACATACGTAAGTGTGTAAGGCGGTTGTGTTCAATTGTTTTTTACCTATATTTGTATGTAATTCTTATGGGATAATTCCAGAGGTAGGCTTCCGAAAAATTATCATTCGCATTTCTAAATTTTGGTTTCCACTAGAGTTCTAAACCTGGAAATGCTGCGCAGTAACTAGATATTCTGTTATACCAATACGTTAAACGTGTACAACTATATGACATGACAATATCGTTATTAACTTATACTCTTCTGTTAAATGAAAATCAACAATATCTCCTAACGATAAATTTAATATTTACATAATATAATGTATAATACATTATATTACGTTAAATACCGACAAATATCTTAACATTGGTCATATTTGCTTATTTCTTAGGACCTATCTAATATTTAGCTAGTTCTACCGGGGTAAAAAGCATTCAAATCTCTGGAGGATAAATATATTTTGAAAAAGGATTATGCACCGTGGTGTATACTGGCACGTACTAATTAAATAGATTCTCACGCTTAGCTAAATTACCTTTAAATTTTTAAATATTATGTTAAAAATGTTGTATCACAGGAGCGCTGAAAGAAGAGCCCGCGAAGAAGCCAGTAGTGCCCGCCATTTATATAGTTAAATATAATAAATTCGTCGATAACATCCTTGAAAAGATGAACGAAATTCTTAGGCGTTCCTACGATCCTGTTAATGTTAAGCTTCAGCCAATCGACGCTAAAAAGAAAAGCTCAAAGCCTAAGAAGGACAAGACAAAAACAAAGTCAAAAAAGTAAGTTACGTTTTAAATTTAATTTTCATTTCGTCCACTTAATATTTCTGCAAAATTAGTAAATGCAATTGTGGCGGCGCTGTCGTCGCGTCACAAGCGAAACGCAACTAAGCCTAAATCACGATACCAAAGTTCCGAAGTACTACGCTAGTCACTTCCCGGGTCCAATACCTTGCCCGGCAAGAGATCTCCCCTTTCCTTTCACGGCTAAATTAGTGACCATGACAAACCGACGTGATTTGAACACGCAACATGCAAACTTCGAAAACTTTAACTATAAGCTTTCGTACTCAAGTAGCCCATCCATTCGCTCCCGAGCAGATACTGTCTGCAGTCTTCAGATCCTGTTAGCCATCTAGCTTCATAAGGTTCATCGCAGCACTGGAATAATGTTTATGTATGTTCGGCGCAGCTTTGAGCCATACTACTCGCTTTTGCTTCACGGCACTCTCGCATATTATTTGTGTGCTTCTCGACATACCGCAGGCTACAAACAATCCCTGGCACTTGTACATCTGTCGATAACTACACTGCACCATCGACCTCTAGTCTGAGTACTAATGGCCCTTCCACGGCCAAACAGTAAAGTATTTTATATTGTTGTACTACCAAAGCAAAAGTTATAATTCAAATATGTTAAGTCTTAAAATGTTTTCAATTCGGTGGGTACAGCTTTGAAGAAACATGTTACAAAGATTTTATATATTTTATACGTTAAAAGTTACAAAATTAATAAAAATATACACCATCTAGGTGTACGTAAAATATCGAGTTTTTTAGTTAAATGTTCTTGTTATTTTTTAGAAAAAGTAGTGCCAAGAAAAAGCAAACCACTCGCGCCGGAAGTTTGGCAATGACTACGAACCACAAGACGATAGAAAGTTTGACGAATGGTAACGAAATACGTGATATTCCTTTGGTAGACCAGAAAGTTATGGAGGCTACTAAAGAGTCACCACAGAACACTGAAACAAGAGCGTTGAAGGAGAAGTCGGGTACTGAAACTGCAAAAGCTAAGCCTACCACAACGAGACCAAAACCTCCTACGAATGCAACTAAACCAAAGCCTAAACCACCAGTAAAGACTACGACAAAAAAACCTGTTGATAAAAATAAGACTAAAACTGGCGAAAAAAGCAAACCAAGAGCTAAAGGAACTTTATATGGCTTATCTTCATTGAGGCGAACTGGAGATGTAGCTGTTAGTATTTTGTCGGATCACACAACTGTAAAAAGTAACTTTGCTGTTGGACCTCTCATATTAAAGGTTGAGAAAGAGGTAGGTTTAAATTTCACATACTTAATATCATTGAGAGGCGTTCTAATTATCTATGGATAATTATTCAGATATGGTTAACCCTCAAAAACTAAAATACATCTTTTATGGTTTATGCTTATCCGATTAATATTAAAATGAAACAAACAGTGATGAAGCATGAAATATATAGGTGAAAAAATAATGTAATCTAAATTTTTAGGTGGGTCGTGGAGGTAAAAAGGAAATTAAATCAGCTACTGCAACTACCGCTGAAATGTCTGGAAAAATAACTTTACGTGTAAATAACCAAGGTGTTGCCACATTACACGCGATTAAAGTTTTGCAGCCCAAACAGGTAGGAAGGAAATTTAAAACATTGTTATATGTTACACTTCTGTGATCGTTAACAAAAACTTTATATTGAAATTTGATTTTGATTTCAATGCGTATGTAGGCTGTTTATCATTTTATATATCAGTCTCTTATAAGACATTTAACGTTAGTTAACTGAAGTCGAAATAACAAAATGGCTAATGTTCAGCCTTTGCTCAATAAATAAAAAGCGGCCGTGCCGAATATGTCTATAAGTAACTTTCATACAGGATATATTTATATATGCACGCACAGGGGTAACATGACTTTATTCCTCTCTTTTCCATTGGACTACTAGACGATGACACAAAAATATAACTCCTTTTAAATTGACACGTGGTTGAATAAATTAATGAATACCTAATTCAATTCAAATAATTTCGAGAAAAGTTGGTCACCCAAGAGCGAGTTAAATTAATAGTTATATCTGAGGCAAAAAAGCGTAAAACTACATGAAAAATTTAATTCTGTCCAGCTTCTCTACAGTTTCTTAAGGCAATGACATTTACACCTCTATAAATCCACTGCTGAATATAAACATTTTCAAGGTACACAACACGAAAGGTTCCCCCTTAATAATCTTGTAATAGCAATGCTGCACTCCATTCTGTGAGATTGACTTCGAGCATTTTTCAATGGATATACTGCTATTTTTAGGCCGCTAATATACGGGAGAGGTAAACAATGGGAGAAAAGAATACTAGATACACCTACCTTATAACTCACATACAAAGAAAATGTAAAGTATTGTGGATAAATCGCTTTAGATTGTTAGGTTACGTTATAAACAATACAGGGTGGGCCTTAACAGTATGAGCGTTTTATTTTGTCTATAATTCAAAAACCGTTAGAGGTAAGGGGGCGCGGGGATGTCATTTCGTGGTAGGGATGGACAAGGGAAAAAAATATATCGATATATCGTCATGGATAGATAAGGTCCAAAATTTTATGTTAGCGAAGTTCAGACGACGAAAAAAAAACGACAACCAACCACACATGAATACTTTTGTACTTCCTTTCTTTGTGACATGTTTTGTTATTAGTACAACATTTTAAAATATATCGAAATTGATACGAATTCGATATCTAAAATAAATATCGATATATCGCGATTTAAAATATCGACGATATATATCGATATTTTTGCCCAAGCCTATTTCGTGGAATTTTTAGTCGCCATGGACGCGGCAGCACAGCGTGCGTTTTGTGTTCGCGCGTATTATGTCAATAAGAATTCATGATTGTTGCTAGGCGAATGTACCGCGTTCACTTCAGCTTACATGACATCAGAGAAGCACCATGCGCAAACTCTATTCGGAAATGGGTTAACATGATCGATGAAACCGGGTCTACAGTAAAAATGCGGGCCACCCGAAGTCAATACGCGAATTATTCAACGCGTTCATGAATCGATTACAGAAAATCCTTGACAATAGACTCGCAAAAGAAGCCAAATCTTGAACATGAAGAGGACTACTTTGCGTAGGATTTTGCACCGTTATTTGTATTTAAAAGCATACAAAATTCAGTTAACACAAGAGTTGAAGCCTAATGATGCCAATCTTCGACTTAATTTTGCTAATGTTATGCTGGAACATTTTAACAATTTTTCCAACATAATCATCAGTGATGAGGCAAACTTTCATGTCAACGGACATGTTAATAAGCAAAATTGCCGCTTTTGGTGCGAATCTAATTCCCGCCAGATGAATCAAAGACCTCTGCACAGCCCTAAGGTCGTTGTGTGGGCTGGAATATCGGCTAGTGGAATAATTGGGCCATAATTCTTTGAAAACCAAAGAAGAGTTGCTGTGACAGCGAGATCTGAGAATTATTGTCAGATGTTACAAGTTTCTGGTTCCAGCTCTTCAAGAGTTTCAAGGCTACAATTCTAGGACGTGGTATCAACAGGATGGAGCCACTTGCCACACTTCTACAGTCTCAATAGACGTGCTGAAAGAAGTGTTTCCAGGAAAACTCATACCGCGAAGGGGAGACATTGTGACCTCCAAGGAGTCCAGATCTTTCTCCTAATGATTATTTTTTGTTGGGTTATCTAAAAGCAAGTCTACGAAAATAATCCAACAACAGTTGAAGATTTAAAGCAAAACATTGTGCAAGAAATTAATGCTATTCCTCGACCAACTTGTTAACGCGTTTTTAAAAATCTGCGAGTGCGACTACAAGAATGTTCAAAAGCTGGTGGCGGTCACTTAAATACGAGTAACATTATTTTTAAAAATTAGATGTCACTTAAATTTCAATTTCTTGTACTTTTTAAATGTATGAATAAAAAAAAACAATAAGATTTATACTTATTTTTTTATTGCATATTGAAACCACTCATACAGTTAATGCCCATCCTGTATAACTTTTTTTGAGAGTGAAGGAATAGAGAGTGGACCTACTACTTGCACAATATACACTTGGGCATTCTCCGTTGAAATGAGTCACCGTGACCGAAATTCTGTCTTGGGGTCATTATTATTAATATATTATTTTATAACTTTAACAGGTTCGAGTTGACAGCAACCACGAACGTACGAGAGAATTGGTGTGGAAACGAAGTGCAAGAATAGCCCATGTCGTATCGGAGAAATTAATGTCGGCTTCCAAACCAATGTTCCTTCAGCACGCTTAAATATAAGATTTAAACTACTTATTTATAGAAGAAATATTATAATTTAAATATGTCTTGCAATGCGATTATAAACTAGTTCGATGACTATAATCTAGTAGGCTAATGTAAGTTTGGGATTGGTTGATTCATTTAATCACGCACACATGTTAAAATACAAAAAATACGCTTGGGTTGTTTTGAACTGGTTTATATTCAAAGCACTGAACTGGCTCAAATATAGAGCGAAAAAGAGGTTTTAAATATTCAATTACATTGCGAATCGTGTTGATTTCATTAAGTTAATAAACAAAATAAGAGCGTTTAATTTTTACTTTAAACGATTCAAGTTGAGTATTTATTTATAGTAAATTTCGATTTATTTAAAAATTGAGTGTTTATTTATAGTAAATTTTTATTTATTTAAAAATCATGTAGTTACTTTTAATTATTAACAATTTTTTGATACTCATAGTTTAATGAAGTCAGAAATTGCATTTGTTACTGTAATTTAAATGGTGCTAAGAAATAGACTAAGTATCTACTATATTTTATCTTTTAACATTGTTTTGATATTTGTATTTATTCTAGACGAAATAAATTATTTAAATAACTAGCTTTTTGGTATTTCTCCCAATTTTCAATGGAGCATTGCCGCCTAGTAGCGCCACCATGGACAGAGTTGAACAGCTTCTAAAGGACGTTAAATATCGGCATTCCGCCAACTCTCAGAAGCTACGCTGTAATTCCATCCTCACCCGTGCCGTGTTCATTACAAGCTGAATTAAATTAGCGGTCTCGCCGCATATATTTGAGTATCTGCTGAAGAATGTAGTTTTATTGTATTTGGTCCTAGCGGCTACAGGTAATAGAAATCCACGCCACGCCACTGACGACATTTGCCTGGCATTTCCTGTAAGTCGCCTATCACGACACTTATGCGACGATTCTAGGATCCTCTTACCTCTTAATGTAGGTATTTATTCAACGGCCAGATTTTAATCTTCGAAAACACGATATACATTACGTTGGATATAAAATGGTTTGTATTTTACGTATGTTTAATATAATATTATATATCCCAAAAGTAAGGCAAAATTTACGAGGTGGTAGAAATCACAAAAGAAAACATAATTGCAGTTCTAGTGGACTTATGATAAGATTAAGCTGGTCTCACGTAAAATATTGTGGGTGGTTTCCTTAGGCGACTTTCACGTCGTATTCTCACGTTTAGAATTTATAACCCTTATTATGTATGAGAATTACGTCTTCTGCGTTGACACGTCGCATGATCGATAAACTTAAAGTGGAATCCGTGGCATTACAGGAGAGTGAAAGTATTTAAAATCTTCATTGTTTTAAAATCTTATATTCGTTTTGCATACACTACCTAATTGTTAACTTACGGTTCTACACTATCGATGAAACGTAGTTTTCTGCCAGTTTAATCGTTAGAGAATGCGTCATAGCATTAAGTCCGCCCTTTGTATTCTTTTGTAATAGGCAATGCAATTAAAAGTTAAGAATAGATGAATGTTCTAGAAACAAGGTATGAATAAAAATGGCATATCATTCAAAAGGTCATTTATTTTATGATTTGTGATGTTTGTACATATTTCACTTTCCTTATGTGATAAATAATTATAAGTACAACATATTATAACAATAAGTAAAATTAAACGTGAGTATTAAGTAGTCAATTTATTATCATTAATAGGACGTGTCATTTAAACAGTTAAGAAAATAGGAAGTTGATATAATTAACGTGTATTTTTAATTGTTTCTAATGAAACCAAAAAATATCTTTGGTAAATCTGTTGAATTAGCCTTCGTGGAGAAATAAGTTGATAAAACTTTAAAACACGTTTAATTGTCACTGGAACACTATTATCAATATAAAACCTAGGTCTAATCATTTATCATCTTTGTTTATTATATATCAGATCGTTATTCACTGTAAGGCTAAAGCCTCTGCCCATTATATGGAAGATTTAATATAATTGCTGTTTGAATTTTAGATCGCATTTATGACACTGCTCCCCTTTACTAGTGGGGTTACCCGAATATACGATAATATTTACATAGATCTATAAAATAAATAGGACGATAACTATAACTTATTTTTATTTTCGTTATTATAGGCATACAATTAACCATAAACCACATCATATCTTTTTATATATAATTCTTCTGTCCGTGTGTATGTTACTGAACTCGTTTTTAATGGCTGGACCGATTTTAATGAAATTCTTTATGTGTGAAAGTTGATTCCAGAATGGTTTAGATTCAACTTTGGGCCCGGTAGGTGGCGCTGTTGTCGAGATCCAGAAATCTCCCGTGCGAAGCCGGGTCGGATCGCTACTAAATGTACAAAATATTCAGCCATTAAGCTATGATTATAATATTTTGACCGCAATTATCGTACCGCCATTATAAACTGTTAATGTCAAATGGTATAGTATAATGAAATTAGCATCAAAGTAATTAAACATGAGCGACAGAAATGCTGATTGGTCATTAGAACGTTGCGGCTTCGCTGAAAGGGGCTAACGTGGGCCGATTATCACATCGCAAATCAATACCTAGGTCAATCGAAGAGCTTATGAAGGCACATTAATAAATATTTCATATATTTTTTGGAGAATTATAAAGCAAGCGTCGAGAATTTTAGTTGTCTACAAGGCTAACATTTGGCCGTGTGGCATTCCTTGGGGGAGGCCTATGTTCAGCAGTGGACTTGTGAAGGACTGTAATGATGATGATGATGATGATAAGGCCAACCACCTAAATTAATTAATAAGCAACTTGAATATTATAATGCTTCTACTAAACTAATTCGTATTCCCTACAATATTTTCTTACGAATATAAATAGCAACTATTCATTTAATCAGCATTTCGATTAATAACTGAGCCTCAGAATTACTAAGTGAGCGACAAATTTTACAACTAAACAACGTTATTAATTTTACAGATTCAACAATTAACAAAAATACTATTGTAAAAAGGAATAAATAGCATCTTAACTTTTAAATCTGCTATTAAAATAAAATAAATAAATGTATTATATATTTATGAAAATCAGCAACAACATAATAGAGATGTTCGATGATTATCGATGTTAAAAATTAAAACATGTGATGTTTTACATCGATGTTGACAGATGTCACACATCGAAACATCGATGTCAATGAACCCATAATCGATTATTAGGAACTTGTGAACAATGCGAACCCGCGATCAATATCAACTAAATTTTGCATCTACTCTGAAGATTTAAAATTTTGAATAATTCAGAATTCCATCGAACTCATCGCTAACCTAAAAAAATATCATTATGGTGTGTCAAACTTAATTGTCAAGTGTCACCCGTAATGTCACAGTGGTCAATGCTTTCGCTTTATATTGTAGTGTCGTTGTCGGTTGTCGCATAATAACTATTCTACGTAAATTGATATTCAAGTTAATTGTTACTTTTCCCTTGCTGTGTACACCCACATAATTTTGAAACAATATGTAAGTATCTACACATACACAAAAAACATCGATAATGGTCAACATCGATGTTTTGAGTAGACTAAACATAGAACATCGATGATGAGCTACCGATGCCAACATCGATGTCATTATCGATGTTTCTGCAACATCGATCATCCTTACAACATAATCAAAATGGCAGCGGTTGACGGGATGGGTGTTACTTGCAACTATCTCCTTGTAAGTTGTAACGAGGCTTTTTCTGCCACTAAGGCGGCGCCACTTAGGAATGAGGTGAAATATTTGACAGATTTCATGGCGGTAAAGTTAATTTGTTATAAAAGAAATATTAGTCATATTAATTACATTAGAAATGGATTAACCAAACTACGGATATTCCTATAAGTAGAATTGAAAAAAAGTTAAAAATGTGTAAAAATTAAAGAATACAACACTGAGGCATTGTTTTAAATATACACTAGGAACCGAAAAACTTTTCTCTCTCATCAAACCATTTCTCATCCTGTCATTTAGATTCAACCCTAAAATAATTACTTACAGCATTTATTCTACTCTTGTGCTTCTTCTGCCACACCCAACTTTCACTACCATACATTAAGGTAGTAACTAATACAGCACTGTGAATTGCCATACGTGTCTTTTTTGACACATTTTAGCTTCCCATAATAGAGTTAAGTGTCTCATTTACTCCATGCCCTGCGTTCACTCGTTCTATATCGTCAGTATACCAACCATCCTTGCTAAATACACATCTCAAATAAACAAACTTATCCACTTACTCAACCAACTCCCCCTCTATTCTTACGTACACATATTGTATTACTTTCTTCTCTTTCAAAAACCGTCATTTTCATCTTACTTGCCTTTCATTCCCCTTTCGTTTAATAAGCTGTTCATTAATGTAATCATCATTTGCAATTCAGCCGCCGACGACGCAAGTATGACTTGATCATCGGCGTACAAAAGGCATTTGACCGTTAACTCACCCATTCTTAAACCAAATTCTTCAACTTACAGAGTTTCCAAACAAATGTCCATGAATAGGTTAAACAGCCACGGGGAAGCTAGACAACACTATCTGATACCTTTATGGATACTAAACCAGTCCGAGCAGGTCTGACACAGGCACTAGATAAAGAGATTTTGTTGGCTGTTTTAACCCAGCGCTCAACCCAAATAAGTCCCTAGTGTTTGCCATAAAAATCCTTGTCCACTCTGCCATAAGCCTTTTCAAAGTCCATGAACGCGATGAAACTTCTTCAATTACCATTTAATTAAACACAATTACAATTTTGGTATTAGCTAAGAAATAAATACGGAGGTAAACAACCTTTTTAAGCTACGTATGAAACCAAAAGCAAATAGACCGCCTGAAGAAAATCGTTGGGATTAAAATAAAATTAATAATTTAATTAAATTTATAATTATTTATCGGATCGCCGGCGTACTAAATATGGACTTCCAACTATTCACCTAGGACAGTTAGATCAATGGATAACTAACTGATAGTACGTTCCGGACGATGAAAAAGAAGCATTTGTAGTAGAGTGTGTGAAGTGAATCGCCTAGTTTTCACTTGTTTTTATCTGCAAAGAATTGACTAAAACTCTGTTCTTCAGCCGCAATTTTGCATACGGATGCTACATATAAATTGATTTGGTGGGGGTTTCCAGTATTGTGGGTTGGAACAACAGTCAATATTCGTGTGCGCAATGACACCGCGATGCGTGTATGCATGCGTAGGTTTCTCGTGTATAAATGACCAGTAGGTAGGGATTCGGCCACAAGATCATATAAATGAAACATTGTTTTTGTGAGCCTTATACCAACTTTTCAATTTCAGTTCTCCAGTTTTTTATATGTCCGTAAAATTTAAAAGATAGAAAAGGCTTAAATATAATATAGACTCATTGTCATTCAGATAAATTGGTTTTCTATAGTGACGAACCCTAATATTGTAACACTACCGCATAATTGAATTATGCGGTAGTGTTGCAAATAAATCTCCTATGTTTACATTATCAATTATACAAAATAAACAGGTATTATCTTCTTTGTTGTAACGTGTAGTATGTTGAAAACGTAGTTTCACTCAGAAGCGTTTAAGATGAGGCGGACACAGGATTGAAATATTTTTAAGTTATATAATTTCAAAGATAGAACGTAAGTCACGTGTCATTTATTTCGTCATTCGTTTTCCTCAGAGACTCGTTCACGTTCGTGTTTCTTAGTAATGGTACATTATTCTGGTCTTCGCTTATGACAACCTCTATAGCATTATCGTCTAGGTTCTGTAATGAAGTGTACGTCGGTGGTGGCGTCATGTTGTTTTCCTTATTTCTGTCTATAATAGGCAAGGGTATCTGACCGGTGAGATCTGCAAAAGAACATAAATAGTACTTTAATTGATAGTATTTTAACAATTGTTTATGTCAATCGCTATTATACAAAAATTTAAATATTTTTATACGATTAGATTATCTTTTAAAAATGTAAAAGATTTTTTTGGATAAGGTGACAAACGAGCACACAGCCAACTGTGACCCATAGACATCTACATCTATCCTCAATAAGTAAGTATGAATCAAACTGCAGATGCGTTGTCACCCGTGAGGGCTAAAATGGAATACCTCTTTTCTAGTAAAAGAGTCGACGGTTCTCTACACTCACCATACGAAACATAGCAGTGTTAAGCTGCCATTTTACGCTGGTATTCTGTTAGAGCGTGGTCCTTCCCCGGTCGAGCCGACCCATTCGTGCTACAACTATACTTCTAATAGAGCTGCAGTATGGTTCTACCACGTATAAAAAGATAGAGTAAAAGATATGACATTATATTGATTAATAATTAAACCCAAGTCTGCGACTCATTTACGGTGTCATTTAGATTTCACTGACATCTACGACTTGATGCACACCTAGAATTATTCCAATAACTGATTGGAAGCGTCAGTATCCTAATGGCAGGGTGCGGACCGTGAACTCGAAAGGTAGTGGGTTCGAATCCGCCATTCGACTACTGTCGTGAACCACTTCTAACACGAGCATTTTAAGCTTACTAGAACCGGTTAAAGGGAATATTAGTAATGTTTATTAATAGCATTACAAGTATTTAAAAAAAAAACTAAAAGATTTCCTAACTTTTACCAGAAAATACTTTAAATAATTAAACATTATTTTCGCATAAACCATGTAGTGGTGGTGTAAGAATATCCGCTATTCCATAGCGTCTTGTGGGTGTCGTAAGAAACGACAGAAAAAAATGAAGCAGGAGATGAGCAACAGATGCCAATCCGCCTGCCAAGCGAGGCAACTATATGCAAATAACTTCCCTATGAGGCAATCTATGGGGGAGTACTTTTTAAATAGCCGCACAAAACAGTAGCGTAACGCAACAAACTAACCATAAAAGTAGCCAGACACAAGAACCAAAGTGTTTTCGAATTCAAATGATGTATGCACCAAGTTATGTTTAAATATTAACACATTAGGCAGCAAGAATGGCGGTAACAACATTATAACAGACCTAAAATGTTTACTACTTTATTTACTAAGCGCGAGCAAAGACATGGTCATAATCTGTGTCGCTTTCTATGGCTTTCCTTCACGTTTGGATATGGATGTCGTAAATAGAAGGGACGTAAACTTTGACGTTGTTTCACTCAATATTATATCGCACTTTCTGTAATAGTACTGATCAGTTTTCATTTAGCCTTTTTAGATTCCAAATAAATCTATTTTCGAGTTGATTAAAAAGCTGAAATCTTTTTTAATATATGTATGTTTTAGGTCTATTATTCTACAGCTGGCCATCTAAAACTCATGTATGATAGAACTGTCAACTACGATACGCCATAGTATTTTCCGAGCATTTTCCTAGGTTGCCTTTTACGAAACCCACGCACAAAGGAAATTCGAAACTTCCCTTTATAGCACTGGATCGGTACGTTGGGAGGATCACCGCACTTACTTAAATGAAAAATGCCCTTAGGGCTACATTCACGTTCTTCTTCTTCTTGCTGTTATCCCAAGTTATTTAGTGTGAGTGAGCGTAGTTTTTTTTTTATAGAAGATCGGTCCGTAAAAATCGCTGGTGGTAATCTATTCCACAAGCAAGTTGTGCGAGGAAGAAAACTTTTTCCAAATCGCACAGTGGTGGACCGCCAATCATCCAGATGGTATGGATGGTATATATGGTATATTATGTATACGTATATATGGTATAGTATGTCTTCCTCTTCCATTCTCGATCAGCCGTCATCTTATCACTTACTTCTTTCTTACGCACATTATTTTTGCCACTCGTTCAATCTTTTAGAACTCCTTCTCTATTATTCACCCACTTTCATAAGACGTTGTTACGTTTACGTTACATTGTTGATATAATAAGTGCTCCTTTAAAATCAATATCTATGGAATGATTTTGTTAAAACTATTTGGAGAGATGATTTCATTTAATTACTTAATAAATAACATAATGAATTCATTCATTCATTATAGCCTACCGAAAATCCATTCTTCAACGTCGACTTTTTTTTATAGATTGCCTCATACGGTAGATATTTGCCATAGTTGCCATATTTGGCTGGCGGTTTGGTAAAAGTAGTTTTTTTAATATTTTGTATTATCAAGACTGCTGCCCATTTTCTGTTTGATTTCCTTCTGTCGCCTCTTACAACTCCCACAAGATGATATGGGCTAAAGAACTATCTTTCGCCGCCACTACACGGCTCAGTAACACAATACGATATGGGATAAATTTAATTAACGTGTAGGATTAACAACCTGTTATGTTAGTCTAGGGATGATAAAGGAAAAAATATATCGATATATATCGAATCGATATTTTTGAACAGTATCGATATATCGTCATCATTTGCATGATGTAAGGATAAGGTCCAAAATTTGATATGACTGACGGTTGGGCGACGAAAAAAAACGGACAGTCAACCACACGTGAACACTTACTAACTTGTTTTTTCATTAATACAACATTTTAAAATATATCGAAATTGATACGAATTCGATACTCTAAAATAAATATTGATATGTAGATATATCGCGATTTAAAATATCGCCGATTATTATCGATACTTTTATTTAAAATATCGATATTTCGATATATCAATTTTTTTTCCCCTAGGCTATGTTAGTCTTTAATCAGCTAATAACGAACACATGGACATGTTGTATGTTAATAACACAAATTTACCTTGCAACGTTGCATCTAATTCGTTTGGAGTTAATGCGACAACAACGCTGGATCCCGCACCACTGAAAACGGAAGCCACGTTGGCCCTTGGCGAGAGTAAGACCAAAGGCTGGCCCCTGGAGGACAGCGAATTTGAAAGCGCGCAAAGACCTTTCGCCGCGGTGAAATCTGCTCCTGGAATTAATTAATTTAGAAACACTTTTTAGATACATTTCTGCTGTATGTGAGACTCATTTCTGTAGTAAAATTTATGAGTACAGTGGTATTCTATTACATTATGATAATGTTTATTAACAGGCGGATAATTTTTTTCTATTAAAGCTCTATTTTATCTGGGTGGGTCCCCCTTTCCCCGTCTTACCTATTTCTGCCGGTAGGCAGAGTGCATATACTTCTTTTAAAAGATATAAAGACCGATAATAATTATAGGATTCTATCATAGACACTTAATCTAATAACAGATATGTAGCCTGCTTTGTTTGAAGTTGGTTGCAGATGATGGGCTGCACCTGCAGTAGCTACGTACTTTCATGTGAAAAGGTAGTTCGTTTGTACAACAACAATATTAAAAATATCACGATGTTACTAGGCATTATAGAGTCACAAGTTTATCTGCAAACACTATGTGCCGTGTACCAACGAAAAAATGTGAAAACATATTTTATTTTCTGGATGTAAGTATCCTAAGAAGCTTACGGTCTACGAGTATTTTATATTACTTTTATCAATAAGAAATGAATTATCGTTAAAAACAAAGAATCCGACTATAGTTAATGACGCGTAAGTTAGGATACGCTTCCTGAAAGCGCTATTTACGTGTGTATATTACGATGTTTACGTGTGTCGGACTGGTATGCCCACCGTAAGATGAAGCCTGTGAAGCTGCGGAGAGTGAAACAACACTACAACTTCAAAATTTACCAAGTCATCTTAGATTACGAGAGGCATTTATACCATGACACTTGACACTATCACCTTCTTTTGAAGGCTGATGTAATGCTGTAAAAAGAACAAGTATACTCATTGTACAAGTACCTAGCACATATCTGCAGTCAATGACCACCGGCATACTGCAGTCTCCTTGCTTTTTAGCAACGCGTGTGACGTATTGCCTGATGTACTCAACGCTCGGGAAGTACAGGCTGTTCCCCACTGTCACCAGCAAGTAATTGAAGCCAGATGGTGCCTGTAAAAATAGAAACAAAAAAATGTAGTGTTTTATAATTCAATATTCCAAAAAAACCTAAATTACTGTGAGAATTTACAGCTGTAAATGGTGATTAGTGTCACAGCAATGGAGAAGGGCAACCCTGAGCAGTAGATATTAGGGAGCGGCATTTTGGGAATGACAGTGAGCTCTGCCTTATCTTTTTAAATCACTAAAAATATAAAATAGCATTAGTTAGAGAAATGTCAAAAAACCTGAAAATTTGCTGGCATTGGATACTTTTAATTAAAATATTACGAACACTGTAGCATTGCAAGTTCCATAAATTGAGATAATCTGCACACACGTACTGTTTCATTACATTATAGTATAGCTGCTAATATTAATAAATTAAATTGTTTTACTAGCTGTTCCCCGCGACTCTGTCCGCGTGAATTTATTACGATTGGATTTCATGGGTTTTAATGTTTTTTTGCACGAAATCCTAATTTTAAAAAATAAAATAAAAGTAACTTAAGTTACTTCTTACAACATCAGCTATCTGCCAGTGAAAGTCCCGTCGTTTTACGTGGTAGAGCCATGCTCTCACAGAATACCAGCGTAAAATAGCAGATGCTGTTTCGTACGGTGAGTGTAGAGAACTGGAGATCCTTTTTTACTGGAAACTCGTTTCCATTAAAAAAAGATCTCCAGATGGAATGCCTCGGCATTCCATCTCCGTCTTCATGGGTGACAACGCATCTGCATTTTGATTCTTAATTGAGGATAAATGTAGATGGCTATGGGCCACAGCATCCACTTACCATCAGGTGCCTGTGTGCCTCGTTTGTCACTCTTATTCTATAAAAAAAATCGGAACAAACAGACAGACAGACATGCAGAAAGACAGACAAAATCTCAAACTGTTTTGTGTTAAAAGTACCGTACACGTACGTTCAAATGCATTTAGTAAAAAGCTTTTTTTTGACATTACAAACAGACACTTCATTTTTATTTATTTGTATAAGATTTATATTTGAATGTAGAAGACTTTTACCAATTTTATCTTTTTAGGATACTTCGAATGGGGGGTTTCGATGTTTCGATTTTCTGATGATCCCTTTTACAATGCACGAAATTCATCAGAACAGACTTTAACAACAATATGATTAATTAGAAACTTAATTTTTATACTTATGCCTATAATTTCTTACATTTACATCTTTGAAAAATATCACGCATAACAAATTAGATCGAGAAAATATGTAGGACAATAATAGTTGAAAAATATAGGGGTATTATTATAATTCCCTGCAGGTATAGCAAGAACCTATATAAGTCAAAGGGACGGGAGCAGAAAGATTCCGCTCAAATGTTATTGGCGGACTCCACATTTCCTCGACATATTATTTTCTGAAGCATGCTCGCATTCTTCACGAGTTTTCCTTTACTGTTTCCTCGCGTAGTATAATATTAAAAAAGCCGAGCGCTTAGCCTCGAGCGTTATCAAGTCTCAGATATAAACATCTTTGTTTACAAAATTGGTCTATCTACCTCAAAGCTTTTATTCCGTTTAGCTGTTGATTATTTATTAAAATTCTTGACATACGCACAATAATTTCAATAGTAAATAAACAATCAGTTCGAAGGTTCAAAATGAACTTAAGACGCCGGACTGATCCGAGTTTGTACATAATTTCTATAAAAACTTAAAAAACGCCGGCGTAAGGTCTAAAATTGCGTAGCGCCTGCGACGATTGAGACCGGTTAGAAATTCCTTAGAATCTTAAAATATTTAAAAAAAATATTGATTTAAGTAATCAAAAATAATGAGCAAGCAAATTACGAATATCGATGTTATGAATGTATTTGAGTGATTCCCAAGCATATACATAAAGTAATTTCGTTGTAATTTCAAATATAATGATTTTTTAGAAGTGTTTTCGCAAATAATTATGACAGAGTCAAAACTATACAATCGTGTTTTTGAACAAGCAAATTCAAGATAAAGACATGAATTTACCCATATCAAAATTCCAGTTTCGGTAGTCGTGTCATAATCTTATATTATTCGATGAAAGGAGGTGCATTTTCTCTAATGGTAGGTAATATATTGCGATGCCAAAGTTAATATGTTTATTTCTTTAAATTTTTGTCTTAGGGACTCTTTACAATTTAGGTTATAAATCGCCCGAACGGCTCTCTTTTGCAAAACAAATATAGCTTCAATATCAGTCACATTACCCCATAACAAAATTCCATAAGACATTACGCTATGAAAGTAACTAAAATAGACTAATCTAACTGTCTCAACATCTGTGAGACTTCTAATCTTTCTTACAGCATATGCTGCAGAACTAAGTCTGCTTGCTAATTTAGATATATGGGGCCCCATTGAATTTTCGCGTCAATAATAATACCAAGAAAAACAGTGGTATCCACAAGACTCAACTCCTCCCCATTTAACAGCACATTGGTATTCGAATCTTTTACATTAGGTACTGTAAATTTAATACACTTTGTCTTATTGCCGTTTAAGAGCATATTGTTGGCGTTAAACCAATGTACTAATTTCGATAGAGCATTTAGATTTAAATTATATGTAAAGTTGCTCTTTCTCTCTGTACTAAATGACAATAGAAAGAGATAGGTATAAATATAATTAATATTTAATTTAAGTAAGCAATAATTAGCGATTATAAGGAAGGCCGAGATTGTTTATTTTCCGCGTAAATAATATTTGCAAACCAGCCTACTATCAAGGTAACTACTAACTACTTGTCGTATTTTATTGATCAAAAATTCCACGATTTCTACAGCTATGGGATTATGTCACTACCTACAAGATGGCAACAAGTTATCGAACAAAATGGCAAATAGTATAATATATTATCATCATCATCATCATCATTACAGCCTTTCATAAGTCCACTGCTGAACATAGGCCTCCCCCAAAGAATGCCACAAAGCACGGTCCTGAGCCACCTGCATCCATCGACTTCCTGCATGTCTTACCAGGTCGTCACTCCATCTAGGGGGGGGGGGGGGGGACGCCCTACACTTCGCCTACCGGTACGAGGCTGCCACTCGAGAACCTTTCTTCCCCATCGGTTGTCGGTTCTTCGAGCTATATGGCCGGCCCATTGCCACTTCAGCTTACTAATCCGTTGGGCTATGTCGGTTACTCTGGTTCTACTGCGGATATCCTCATTCCTAAGTTTATCACGCAGAGAAACTCCGAGCATAGCCCTCTCCATAGCTCGCTGAGCGACCTTGAGCTTCCTCATCCGGCCAGCAGTGAAGGACCACGTCTCAGTTCCGTATGTCATCACTGGCAACACGCACTGGGTGTACAGTCTCGTTTTCAAGGTTTGAGGTATACCTATATACCTTATAATCCAACGTAATTAAACTTTGAAAAAGAAATATGTCTTGAATTTGTATATAAAATACGAAGAAACTTTTCCCCCGACCTTATATAAAAAAGAATATAGGGCGAGATCAAATCATTTTACACTCACTTGAATGATTCGTAAGCCAAATAATTGCACACACAAAGAGTAAAGATTAAAAGTAAAATTTACGAACTCTCTTATACTAAAAACATACCTCCCATCTATATATATATATATATATATATATATATATATATATATATATATATATATATATATATATATATATATATATATATATATATATTACCAAGGGGATGTAGATAGCAGGAAGGGCACTGGTTTGCTGGCAATATTAAATATTAATTTAAATTACTCTTACTACTTAGAGTATGAGAGTGGTCGGGACTATCTACAAACCCCCAACAAAGAAGTAATTAAGTTATCATAAAGTAATTTTTTGTAACTTACTCGTAATTACATAGTCTCCACTTTATGGTTTTAAAGATTGTTTTCTAAGTATGTCATACGAGTGAAACGAGATCTATTACATCTAAATTATAGTAAGTGATTGACTTACTGTCATGATCTCTGCATCCAACTGAGGTCTTGCACTGGGGTACAGTAGAAGTAAGACATTAAGTACAATTCCAGCTACAATGCCTATTTCCACGCCCACCACTAAGCAAACGGCAAAGGTCGCAAAGGCCGGAACAAGATCTGCGCGTCTCGAACGCCACATCGGTTTTACCACCTGCAATTAATTCATCGAATCAGTTCCTTTTCATCGCGTGTTCGTTCAGCTTTCTAACAGTGGTAGAGCCACGCGGCAGCTTTTGCTGTCGCACGGATGGGCCGGCTCGAACCGGGGTGGTACCACGACCTCACAGAAAACCAGCGTGAAGTAGAGGTTTACCTCTGCGTTTCGCTTGGTGAGTGCAGGTGGCCGGAGGCCCTTTTTACTCGAAATGAGGCATTCCATCTTAGTCCTCACGGGTGACAACGCATCTGCATTAGATGTAGATGTCTATGGGCCGCAGCAACCACTTACCATCAGGTGGACTGTGTGCTTGTCTGTCATCCTTATCCTATAAAAAAAATCTTTAGCTCCCTCTTGCTTTACAATGTTGTTATTTCATACTCATCGTACATGAAGCGTCAATTCAACTGATAGGTTTTTCGAATGTGATACTCTGAGGTTTCTGATTAAAACGTTTGGGAATGTAATTGATTAAGGTCAAAGTGAGAATTTTGGATTCCTGTTATAACTTTAAGCTATTTTGAAATTTCATACCAAAAATTACATTGTGAATTTTGTCGACTAACTGACTATAGATACGCTTTCGATCGCTTACAGAAACGTCCACTGCATAGAATATATTAAACTATAATTAGTATGTTTTTTAAATAGTAAGCTTTGTTATAATGCTACCACTGTTTATTTAAAAGTAAATATCGGCAACAGCGGAATCACCAAGCAACCGCGCCTCGACCGCTTATGCCTCGTACCCACCTCCTCTTAAGTCAGTGAGAACAACTGCATTCGATACTAAGGAAAACATAGAGAAGCCACATCCGCACCGCGACTATCTCTGTCTTGCTGTCTGTCTAAGATCATATTTCGCTCAACTCCGAGCCAGCACTTATTTAATTTTTTTACATTTACAACTATCATTACAGTGGCTTCTTGAAATTCTTTCCCTCGTCGAGAATATATCAATTCTCTCAGCAACTAAACTTAGTGTGTACAAAGTGCGTGTTTAGGGCGCTTTGGACAGTAGGTTGGTTCTGTCACGGGGTAGCTCGTACAGACGCGGCCTTCGCCGACGCCGTAAGTAGCGACTGTTTACGTGGTAGAGCCATGATACACATATATTAGCCATTTAGCACGAATAGGTCGGCTCGACTGACTTGGTTGACGCTACAATATACCTGGATTCCACGTCAAACTCTTATTACATGATATCGAGTGACTTCTTTCGTTTACAATTTGTTTTATTTAACAATGTCTAAAATAAGGAACATGTAATAAACACTTTTATTATAATCTTAAGTAGGCGTTCAGTTTTTTCTATACGACGCTTCTGTTGATAAACTTTTCTTAAGAAGAATAGATTCGCATTATGACTTACCTCGTATTCGATCATAAATATAACGGCACAAATGACAACAGCGGCAAGAGAAGCTTTCGGTATATAAAAGAAGTATGGCGTTAGTAGACTTAACGCTAGTAGCACCAAAATACCTGAAAAATATGCCATATATTAAAAAAATAAAAGTAATATTATACTGGTTATTTGGGAAGCACCCTAGGTCCTACTATTTTACACACACAAATACATCAAGGTCCGTCAATCGCCAGTATATGTGTGCGTGTATATCATGTATGCCAAACAAAATTTGCAGGACCTAGAGTGCTTCACACGTTTTCAGTGTAATATAAATAATAATATTTTTATGAGTATCAGAATTTCTTAAACAACTATGGGTGTGTCCAATCATCATGATCTCACTGGTGAAAAATTCGTTCCGTTATGGACTGCCAGTATACTGCCGCAGTACCCTAAGGAAATGTATGACGTCATAAATCGCCGCCATTTTTGTACTATGAGCACTGGCGCTTTCGAGGTAAGGTGCTCTCAGTACTTTGATCACGTGAACAAAAACATAACAGCGCCTAGAGATTTAACAGCGTTATTATTATTAATTATTCAAATAAACCCGCACATTAAGTTTTAAAAGCAATAAAATTCAAATAATAATTTTTCTTGTTGAACTGAAAACGTGTACATGATAAATATTTTCATTTGAACAGTGTTGAAAAATGACAGTATAATGGACTGCGTTTCATTTTAAACAGTAACCAGTATATCAAACTAAAAAGGAACAGTTTCACAGTATACTGAATTGACGTGAAACTTTACAATGCAATGGTCACAGTCTATATCGGAACACGCCCTGTGTCGATACACTAGGCGAATTGAGAAGTAACGTAAACATTTTGAAAAATTCTTTTACTATTTTTTAAAGCGCCTTTGAGGCATACTTATTTATCTATATTTCATCTTATATAATTTCACGAGATCGTAAGTGAAAAAAAAATTATAAGGTATCACTATATAGCTTTATTTCAGTAAAGCATGATATGATAAAACTTATGATCACAATACAATAATAATGACAACCTAACATACCCGTGTAAATACTCCCAAGCTGGGTGGCCACTCCACTCGCATGGTTCACTGCGCTACGGGAAAATGAACCAGTGATTGGCATCGCGCTAACAAATGAACCAAATATATTAGCCAACGAAAGTGTTAAGAGTTCCTGTGTAGCGTCCACAGATTCACCACTGGCTAAAAATAAAACAACTTTTGTTTTAATATTTTTAAATAAAATAATAATTATTCATAAAATTATTTCAATATTCTAACATATTTTTAAGTATTTATTGAGATACAATAATTATTAATTAAAAATAAATTAGTAACATATTTAGAAACGAAATTTATAATAAGGATATAAGCTGGCGCAAATAAAATATTTCTAAATAAAACTAATTTTACGGATTTTATCGCGTATATTAACTTATTTTTATATTCCCGACGTTTCGGGTGCTTTCCAGCACCCGTGGTCACGGGGGCTGAGGTGTTTGACGTCCTGCTGTCATAGTTAGCCCGGCTACCTTCAGTTTCTTGAAGTCTAGCAGTGGTATACTTGGGTTTGGATTTGATTTTATAAATTATGGGATCCCAAGCAGATGGCAGCACCCATCCATCTTCTCTATTGAAATTAGGATGTTTTTTAATTTCAATAGCCTCGTTTTTAATTTCAATAGGCTATTGAAATTAAAAAACATCCTAATTTTAAACTCTAAAAAAACTCTACACTAAAAAATTAACATTAAAAAACTGAAGGTAACCGGGCTAACTATGACAGCAGGACGTCAAACACCTCAGTCCCCCGTGACCACGGGTGCTGGAAAGCACCCGAAACGTCGGGAATATAAAAATAAGTTAATATACGCGATAAAATCCGTAAAATTAGTTTTATTTAAAAATGTGTAGTGTTCGCGTAAATATAAGAAATCATTATAAAATATTTCTCTGAAAAATAACAGCAGATTTTTGATCGAACGGAATTTTTCATTTCCCTTCCGAAGACTCGAAAATTATCCAAAATTGATTATGATTTTATTTCACGTAGGCAATGTGAATATTTTACAATATTATGCAGTCTATTTTATTACTCATTTACTATTCATTCATAATAAATATAAATTAATAATTAAAGGGATAAAACAATAATAACATTAATAGTATGTAAAACCATAGTTAACTATTTGAATAATCAATAAGTTACGCATTACTGCTACTACGGTTTAATGTAATGTAAATTACTGTTCAGGTAGAAAACATTGGTAAACTGCGTATCGTATAAATAATAATCATAAAGTTGGTTTGTGGACGTACGCTACGAAAGTATGAGCTCAATTTGGAAAATAGGAGTCTAATCGTTATTGCGGACGCCGCTTCACTTGAATACTGATATGAAAGCGGCGGCTGGTAATGTTGTAATGCGGCTTCACTCACACTACATATATTCGTACAATCTACCAGGAATCTTTTGTTCGCGTAACACGTTAAAAGTTATTCTCAGCGTATGTGTTCTTGTTATGTTATGTCACAATACAATGATAAGAAACTTCCTAATGCTACCTAAGTTTAAACTTACAGTTATAACGATAAAAGCAACAAATAAGTTCAAATGTCAATTAGTTTTGTTTGTGTAATGTTACGTTTTATTTCATACATATTTACATCATATATCTTGCCTAAATTGTACGAGGATATGTGCGCTATGTGTGTTATGCATATAACTAGTCACATGAATAAGGAACGAAATTGGCCTACGATATATTTGTATGTAAGTAAATACGGTTTAAAATATTATAATAAATGATAAAATTAAGTCTAAAACAAAGCATCACGCAATAAAGGGCGACCGCTCACTTGTACAACATGCAGTAGGCTCAAGGCCATGCTTTATGTTAGTCTAAAAAACCTTTTGTTTAGTTGACTAATGTGATGGGCCGTAATCAGATGAAAATCTTGAAAAAAATTGTAATTAAAAAACGTTAGTTAACGTTAGCTCACGAATTATTTCGCTTAAGGTCTAAAGAAAAGCAAACACAAACCGATTTTTTATTTCACCGTAGTCGGATAAAGTTAAGGGTAAGGTCAGGCCGCTAGTTAATCGGCGCCATTTAGTAAAAAGGCTAGGCTGTTAATTAAAATGCTAATTAAGCTGATTGGCTGCCACATATAGATAACAATACATACTGCCCAGTTCGTTAACAGACAGCGCGATGACATAATACATTTATTCTAACGGTTTGAATTCTACGTAACACTATAATGAAAATCCCATCCAAATTTGTATTCAGGTTTTTGTGTGATGTGCGCCTAGACAGACATACATAGAGATATTTTTTCCAAATTGTTGTTTTAGCATAATTTGTATCTGTAGTATAGTACGTAACCCCATTATTAAAGTATAGATAGATTAGTATTTAGAATACAGTAAAATAGTAGCTTAATGCTGCTGTGTTTCGTATGGTAGATATGCATTTTGATTCTTAATTGAGAATAGATCTGCATTTTGATTCTTAATTGAGAATAAATGTAGATGTCTATGGGCCACAGCATCCACTTACCATCAGGTGGACTGTGTGCTCGTTTGTCACCCTTATTCTATATATAAAAAAAATACAGGTCTAGTTGTATTTCTGTCACGAGATGTTGATGTCTCAGTGGTTGGGCGCTTGCATTATATTTCATCATACGCGAGTTTAGAGCGATCCTCGCCGACATAGATTAAATTATACTACTCCGTGTGAAAGAAAAATCGTAAGTATATCTGCTTTTTGGAGAAAATTAAAATATTTAAAAAGCATGTGAAGTCTTGTAGTTGACCCGCTCTGCTCTCTGCTGTGCGAACTATTAGTGTATCCTTTTAGTGTATAGGCTGATAGTTAATTTAACTATGCAAGCAAATACTTGACGTTTTATTAGTCGTTCATATTATTCGAAACACAAAATGAAATTAAAAAAGTTAAACTCACCAAAAGCTTTAGCGATCGCCACGTTGCCCAATACCCCAATAATCGGGACTAGAACAATCGAGGAGCCCAGATCCGAGCACATGTCTATGAATGTAATATTCCGCCCCCCGTATTCCGTATTGAACGGCGGCAAGCTCCACGTTGGGAGACCTTCTCTAAAATGAAAGTCTATTACGAATATCGGAAATGACTTGCAGGTTGCAGGCAAGGTTATTGTAGCATAAACAACGTCGTTCGGTAATAAAAGGACAAAATTTAAAAATTCGTTTTGGTTGATTATGCTTGCAGTTTTCAGCGAGCCAGACCAATTTTTGAAATATGCAAGAAACGTGAGTTAAAAATACTTTGGAAAAGTTGCGATATAGGAAAGCGCCAGATAAATTTTACGTTGAATTACTAGACTTATTTTTCAACCGACTTCAAAAAGGCTCAACTCAATTGTATGTTTTTTATGTGTGTTACCTCATAATCTTTTTCTCGGTGAACCGATTTCGATAATTCTTTTTCTGCCGACTTCCAAAAAGGAGACGGTACTCAATTCGACTGTATGTTTTTTTATGTGTGTTACCTCATAACTTTGTACTGGGTGAACCGATTTCGATGATTCTTTTTTTACTTGAAAGCTGGTACTTCTCGTGTGGTCCCATATAAATTTGATCAGGGTCTGACCAATAGTTTTTGAGTTATTCTTAATAATTTATATTGAAGTCGGTTGTACAACATTTTCTGCCGACTTCCAAAAAGAAGACGGTACTCAATTCAACTGTATGTTTTTTTTTTATGTGTGTTACCTCATAACTTTGTACTGGGCGAACCGATTTCGATGATTCTTTTTTTATATGAAAGCTGATAGTTTTCGTGTGGTCCATTTTGTGCTCAATTTGATCTAGGTCAGACCAATTGTTATTGAGTTATTCTTAAATAACCTATATTGAAGTCGGCTGTACAAAATGTTTAATTTTAAATTATTAATATTACCTCTTGTTCATATGGTACGTGCAAATACTTTCGATTTCAAAACATTACAGCAGAAAAATGTTATATATCTGCCGTGAAGGGCCGGCGTAAAAGAATCTACTAGCCCATGTCATTCCTTATATAAATAAAACCTTGTAAAAATCCGTGTTAGTTCAGAACAAAGCGCTTGCCTTAATTTAACAGTGTGCAATAAGAATTCGTTTCCCGTCGTCACCGATGAAATTGTTAGTAAAATTTTTAAGTGATGATTTAATAGCCTATTTGAAGCTAAATGTCGTGATAAAACCGGGTTGTCTAAAAATAGAGGACATATTATTATTATTGTAAAGTCCATTAACACGTAGTGCTACATAAACCTTTCAGAAATTAGCAGAAGCCTGTCTGTTTACACTGCACTGAAATAACTACTGTAATTCATACTTTTTTAAACTTGTCGCCTATTTAGGCTATGGTGACAATGATTAACAATAACAGTTTTTTTGCGGTATATAGTGCCACTTTAATAACAATAGTTGCATTCGCTTGTCGCTACATCTTCGTATCGAATCCCACATTTATGCGATAATACTATCTATGACATCCCGAGAGGAGTAACTTAAACCCCACAAAAAATCCTTTTCTAAAATCGTGTAATTTATATATAGGCTTTGGCTAGGAATCAAAGCCAGGACCCAGGGTATTCAGGTGACCCACTTTATGTTATGGCTGCAATTAATTTTCTAAAGTATTCTGATAGTACTCACTTGACAGTTCCGGTGAGTTTAAACGGCGATTCCGAATGTCGGTCTAAAAAGAATGCCAATAAAGAGCAAAGTAAAACGATTACGGCATTTCTAGACGTTGATATTAGCCACAGGGCTTTCTTTAATCCTTTTCGGTTTGCTAGTAGGTTAAGATCTTTCATTTTCTGAAACAAAAATAGTGTTTTTTTTTAAAATCAAGTGAAGATGATAACCGAGGGTACAGTAAACCTAGTGGTAAGTAGTTGCTGGTGCCAATGACCATCTATACTCGATTACTTGACAACATGCAGATGCGATGTTAAAACAGGTATCTGGTTCTGTAGTGCAATTCCATAACTCATTCAAAGTTACACAATATACTGATCACAGGAATAACAGGATTATGCTGTTATTTACGCTGATATTTTGAAGCAAGTCCTTGCCAGGTCATGTCGACCAATCCGAGTGGCAACCATGGTAGAGATGCAGCATGGCTCTACCACGTAAAATATAAATAATTTCACTTAATCTGGTGGGAGCGCCGCCCAAAACTTCACTTACCAGTACGAGAACCTTTCTTCCCTATCGGTTGTCAGTTCTTCGAACCTATTACTCGTCTACTTATCTACTTGTTTCGAATCCCTTAAAACTTAAAAACAACGATGTACAACCATTGCGTGTTGCCAGTGATGACATATGGATCGCCAGTGGTAAACGATCCCATAACGAAGTCGTGCGAGAAAGAAAACTCCTAGTAAAACAAACAACGGTGGACCGCCAAACATTCAGATGGTGTGGATGGTATCCGTGAGATGTGTCGCGATGTTCGTTGGTGGAATTTGATGGCTAGAATTAAACCGAACAATTTCTCTGTGGAGATGCAACATAGATGTAGTAACCAAATAACGTTAGAATATATCTATGATATGCAACATCTCTTCGCAGCGCTAGTAAATTAAGCCAATCAGAAGGAATTCGATCTTATGTGAAGTACCACCACACTCTTTTGTATATTGCAATAACACTAACTTTCTTGTAGCTATTTTAGCTCTGGATTCAATGAATCACCTAAAGTTCAGGTGCTAGTTAATTTGAACCCGCCAAAATCTAAAGGTTATTTATTCCAATGATACATTATAAGAGTATTTTGTCTCGTCTACCCAGGTCAGATATAAAATGAAATACAAAAATTAACGAAGAAAAGTGATGCAATAAATAACCAACAGATACTTTTTATTTTCCGTTCTTCGTTGAATCATGTGCACTGAAGCTAAACGCAGAGGTCTTTGTAAAATAATGAAATCCTATTGGTTATTTATTACACAGCTCTCCACTCCGTCTTGCTCTACTTTGATGGATAAAGGCGTAACTTTTAAACTACGTAACGTATAGTATCGTATAACAAACGTTTATAAAATATTGTTTTGGCTGCACGATACGAGGGATAAAACTTTGGGAGCGGATTCCCTAAATTACGAGTATATGTAACTTTATTGACCGTATTTTCTATTTTTTTTTTATGTTATGTTGCAAATTTTCTTATGCAACCTATATCTATATAAAGATGATAAAAGTAAAGTAAATCTGCCATGCTAACGTAAAAGGCGACTATCCGACATTTTGGCAAAATTGACTTTGAAACATTGCTACAATGTAAAAGAAAAGCTTTATTTACTGATCTTGCCGCTATTTTAATTTTAATACCAATCTAGTCACTGGTTACATGCTTAACCATCAAGTAATTTCGGCACATTACTTTGATGGGGAATGCTTGCGCATCGCCATAGGACTAGGAGCTTTGTCAACCCCATCAGTGCCCCTGTGGTAGCAGACAAGTTTGGTCTCCACGGACTTTCATGCAAGAAAAGTGCTGGTAGGTTTTCACGGCACGGTTCTTTGAACGATGTCATCCGAAGGGCTCTTGTCTCTATAAACGTTCCCTCGGTTTTAGATCCTTGTGGAATATTTAGAGACGATGGCAAGAGACCTGACGGTATGACATTGGCCCCTTGGGAGAGAGGTAAAGCCCTAGTGTGGGATGCTACTTGAGTAGACACTTTGGCGGCATCTCATATCAAGGGTACCTCGTTTAGAGCCGGGGCGGCATCAGAGGCAGTTGAACTGAGTAAGTGTCGCAAATATGAGTCTCTGAGAGATGACTATATATTTGTGCCTTTTGTTGTAGAGACTATCGGTTCGTGAGGTCCACGTGCGATGAAGTTCCTCAAGGAACTCCATCCGCGCCTGGTCGTTGCTGCTGGTGATAAAAGGGCTGGTTCTTTTCTCGCTCAAAGGCTAAGTATAGCCATTCCGCGGGAAACGCAGATAAACCAAACGAATATATTTTAAAAATATACTCGTGTATAATAAAATATGAAATAGGTTATTTTAATACTAATTTTGAATAAGGTAAAATGTCTTCACTAGTCTTAAAAAACGTATTTACTTATTTTTTTAATGAAAACGTATAGTATTATTGCATTTTAATTTTTTTTTATAGGATCGGGTGACAAACGAGCACACAGTTCACATTATGTTACTCGTACCATAATGTGAACTGTGTGCTCGTTTGTTGCTGTGGTTGCTGTGGTCCATAGACATCTACATTTATCCTCGTTTGCGAATCAAAATGCAGATGCGTTGTCACCCGTGAGGACTAAGATGGAATGCCTCTTTTCCAGTAAAAAGGGTCTCCGGTTCTCTACACTCACCATACGAAACACAGCAGTGTTAAACTGCTATTTTACGCTGGTATTCTGTGAGAGTGTGGTCCTTCCCCGGTCGAGCCGACTCATTCGTGCTACAACTATACTACTAATATAGCTGCAGCGTGGCTCTACCACGTATAATTAATTTGTGTCTTGGTTAAATAATGAAATAAAGCTGAAATACCGTATGTTTGTAACTTGTCGCATTATAGTCAATTACATTGATAAATTGATTGCACGATACTAAAAGAGTATTTTAGTTAAGGATATTAATATAATATACCTATATTTTACAAAATGCTATCAACATTGCCACTTATGTTAATGGCGAACTTATATGACGGTATATACGACCATCAACATGCATCTTTAGAAATATTGTAAAGAATTTAGACATTTCTATACTTATGAAACATTTAAATGTGATGGACAAATATAAATTAATTGTCAATGTCATGAATGATTAGTAGTAAAATTTTTGTTAAGAGACCCACTTTATGGACTACCAAAATCAGAAAATACTTCTGCCTTGACTATTTATGATAGTGATAGGATTACAAAGGATGAATGTAGAGATCTCTAGATATATACTAGAATGCAAAATCTTCAGAAAACTCAGAATCTTCTATGTAAAGAATACGCGGGAAGTTATGAAAGAGAATAATTAGAGAATATTTTTTTTACAGAAAGTTTACATTATTATAAGCATACACGCAAAGTTTCAATATGCGGAAATGCGTACTTTTTGGGAAAAAATATATTGAAAATCAACTATTTTTGCAATATTTATGTCAATTGCTACCGTAAAACTGACGCCATTTTGTATTGTCGTTGTCAGTAGGGATGTCGATTCTTTCCGAAAAAGTTCGATTTTTTTAAATCTATTCGAATTGTAAGCTGATGTATCGATTCACAAAAAATCGATTTCTCAATATCTATATTTTTTTATGAATGCATTTATAATGTAAATATAAATCCACTTAATGAGAAAAAAATAAAAATTTCATCATAAAATAATTGGGGTACTGATTCAGAAGGATTTCTGTATCTATTTTCAGACTGCTACGTCTCCGGCGCTGCGGGAAGAGCAGCCTCTACGCCTTTGCGTAACAAATCGCAGGCATCGTTCTTTTTGTTACAGCTGGCGGAGGCTGCTCCCCCTACGCGCCTCCGGCTCTATAAAACCACTCTAGGGGTAGGACAGACTCGTATCAGGTAGAGTCGGGGTCAATCGATTCGGTTCTTTGACATTAGTTGAACCTAACCTATTTTATTTATCTGCCCTAATAGGTACTGTTAAAATAAAACAAATTTCAATAAGAGATCATTTATTATGATATCTTTCTTGTTTTTCATAAAATGGATTTATATTTACATTATAAATGCAAACATGAAAAAATATAGATATTTTAGAAATCGATTTTTTGTGAATCGATACATCAGCTTACGATTCGAATCGATTTAAAAATCGACATCCCTACTCAAGATGACAATGACAATACTAAATAGCGTCAGTTTTACGGTAGGAATTGACATAAATATTGCAAAAATAATTGATTTTCAATAATTTTTATCTCAAAAAGTATGCGTTTCCGCATGTTTTTTGCCAGTGTGCTTATAATAATGTATCCTTTCTGTAAAAAAAAAAAAAAACTAATCGCCAACTCGACGGACGTCAATGGACAGCTAAGCCGCAGATTGTTTGAGAGCCGTGTTTTGGTGCAATCTATGTCGCGATCTACGGTTGTTATGACTTGTGAAGGGCTGTTATGACGATAATGATGACAAGCCTAAAAATAAAAAGTGCATTACAGTTTTTCTAGATCTTCAGAAGGCTTTCGATACCGGCTCTGTCCCCATCCTTATGCGCAGATTGGAATCACTGGGTGTCAGGGGTACTCCCCTAGCTTTGCTGTGTGATTATTTGCGTGATCGTAAACAGAGTGTTAGAGTTGGTGACTGTATCAGTGAACTGGCAGACACAACATATGGTGTCCCACAGGGGAGTGTGCTGGGACCAACGCTCTTCTTAATTTACATTAATAACCTTTGTAACTTGGAAATTCTTAATGGTAAATTATTTTCATATGCAGACGACACCGCTGTAGTTTTCTCTGGTACAACATGGGACACAGTGGCTTTGCACAGGAAGGTCTGGCACGAATAGCTCGTTGGTTAGACAAAAATTTATTGACTCTAAACGTCTCTAAGACCAATTATATATGTTTCACAAATTATAACAGTACTCAGCCAAATTCAGACTTCCAAATAAAAATTCACTCATGTAACAATATCACCAACCAATATTGCTCATGTGATAGCATAGAAAAAACATCTAAAACCAAGTATCTTGGAGTAATGATTGATCAGCGCCTTGCTTGGAGTGCCCACATTGACCTACTGATTGGCAGAATTCGCAAACTTACTTGGATTTTTAAGACTTTAAGACACGTTGCCGACGCAGATTTAATAAAACAAATATATATATCGCTAACCCAATCTATTCTTAATTACTATATCACAGTCTGGGGTGGAGCCACCAAAACAAAATTTCTAGAACTAGAAAGGGCTCACAGATCTTTGCTTAAAGTGATTTATTTTAAACCTTATAGGTTTCCAACCGTCAGTCTATATTCCCACTGTGGCCTACTATCTGTAAGGAAACTTTACATTTTACACGTGATTTTAAAACTTCATAGAAAACTCCCCTACAACCCCCCTAGACTAAATAAAAGAAGAATATTAAATGTTGCACCTGTAACCCATGTTAAAACTGCCTATGCCAGGAGACAATTTGGAAGACAATCCGCACATATTTATAACAAATTAAATAAAATTCTTAATTTTTACCCAACAGCGACACATACATGTAAGAACACACTACAGAGCTGGCTTCAAGGTAAAAAATATGATGAAATTGAGAACCTTATCTTACATTAACAAATATAGTGTAAAGTCATAATTCTATTCACTGACTCACATACACACTCACATGTAAACGTACACAATCTTACGCACGCCACACACACACACACACACACACACACACACACACACACACACACACACACACACACACACACACACATATTATTAACTTAAGTTGTTAAAGTTCTTTTGTTAAATTAAATTGTTCATTAATTCTTTTTGCGCTTCCTCAGGTAGCACTTAGTAATTAACTATAATGTTTCTTTTTGACCCCGTTTACTTTTAACTTGTGTTGTATTGTCTTGCTGTAGTTAATACTCACTGTAACACAATGTATCTTTTTGTAATCTTAAGAAGGAGCGGGGTCTCCTAACACAAGTATCATACTTAAAAGGAGATTCCGGCCATTAGTAATGTAACAATGATGTAAAAGATACTGAATAAAGATTTTTCATTCTTTTTCATTTTCAAGCCTAATGACTTTAAGAACACTTTTTAAATAAGATTATGTTTATAGTTTTATTTTTCTTTATAATATATAAAAAACATGGAAGGAACAGTTAACACTTACACAATCGATGCCAAGAAAACAAAAAAAATATCATCAAAGATAAAAGTGGGAATCTGCCGCAGAGAATGTTATTACTAGTTAGCTAAACATCTTTTACGATTCCGTAGAAGTACGTAATATTATTCATATGAGAAATATTTAATAGCCAATTCGAATGATTGATTACATGTCTCAGACCAGGCTAATGCGACAGAATAGCTGTGAATGTCTTACTAAGTGTGTGAAGATTTATGAGACGAATTTGAAATTAGATTATGTTTAAGGACTATTGGAACACACATCCATTCACATATATATCAAATTGAAGTGTCTGTCCGTGATATTGGAATAACAAGTTTCCATAAACATTTTTTTTTAAATTTTGTCTGTCTGTTTATCCGGCCTAATCTATAGCACACTAAACAGTTTGTGATTAGACTTAACGAACAGATATAGAGAGAACGACGTCTTTCGTTAATTTGAAAATGACGTCGTTTGTTAATTTGGAAATATTATTAATTAATTAAATTTATTTATTTATACCATAATGCACAAAGGCATTCTCTCCCAGTGAACTATTGGACTAACCAGAGATAGATATATAAGAGGCGGTACAGCAAAGATCAGAAAAAAAGGATGATATAGTATATATAGGTATATTATTACAGTAATAATTCATTATTTCAAATAGATTTTCATATATGGTAGATGAATATTAAGAAAAAAAATGAATATTAAGAAAAGGTAGATGAAAATTAAGATTGATCACACTAATAATAATAATATATAAATATTAATTTGTAATTATTTACCCGCATTAGAAGAAGCACAATAATACACGATACACCCAACGCTGTGTCTGCAGCTCTTGCGTTAGGTATGTTTATAATAACCTATGAACAAAGTATAAGACTTCGTTAACACAATATACACACAATACATTAAAATGTTATAAATATTTTGAGAAAAACTAATCATTTTCAACGAACACCTTTTTCTTAGATCCAGGAATTGGATTGGATGAATGAATATAATAATTAGATACATTTCTTAAAAGATTTGCTAGCGGCCATTACTTCTACACTACATTACTAATACTTGCTTTCCTATTACCGGTTTATCATCTTTGAATTCGGCATATCACAAGGAATATTCGTCCCCATCAGTTGGGTTAGAACTCTTTTAGTTTTGCTGACTGGTTATCACCTAAGTCCGTTAGGTAGCACTCTATAGGAGATACTTAAGTTTATTTCCCGGTGGAAGCACTTTTGAAGAACATATAGGCATTCAAGTATTGGTTTACCATACCAGTGAAGGCACAAACACTGTCGTAAGAAAATATGTTCCATATCTAAGAAAACAAAACAAATATCTTGAATACATGCAGTTAGATATTTCGCATAGGTGTAGTTTTGGTAATGTTATGAGTAAATATCCGGCATTATTTGTTTTGATAAATTAAAAACTGTAATAGTAAATTAAAGACAATGATACCTCAATAAAGATAATATCGAATAAAATGCTTACTTGTTTGATGGTGTCGATAAATCCTTGGGATTTGAATTGAAGACCAAGAAGTCCTTTCAATTGCGATACAGCTATAATAACTGACGTCGCTGAGGTGAATCCCACAGTCACCGGAACGGAAATGAAGTCAATTAACACTCCTGTTTGTAGAAAATAAACTCAATTTATTTTTCAGATTTTAAAAAGAAATTTTAACGTTATCTCCTATAAGAATGTAAAGGCTATTCTCAACTTTGGAATATAGTTTGATGTTAGTTTTATTGCCAACAGTCACAATTTTCAGAGCGAAAGGAACTTACAAAGACTCGAGGAATGTTCAATAAACCAAATCGGTTTCGTTCCTTTAGCTTGAATAGTTGTGGGAAAGAATCGATTTGTAGACGAGATAAAACGATCAAAGAGCGTCGAATATTTTACATAAACCTATCGATGAAAAGGATTTATATTTTGTACGATATTAAATATGTAATATATTTATATTGTGACAGTAAATTATATTAGGTAAATTTCATGGTTTTATTTTAAAAAAAAACGTTACCTCCGTACTAGAATTTTCTCCTGTATCGGTCCTACCGATTCGGCTTGTTGGCCGTTAATAATAAATAGAATAATAAATAATTTTAGATAACTTTCTAGATATCTTTATCACCATCTTTATCACGGTTCATCTTTTATGGTTATGTACAGTATAACTTTAAGATTAAATACTAGACAAATCTATACATCTATATCTACAAATAAATTTCATCTTTTATGGTTATCTATACATATATACAAATAAATAAAATTGAAGTGTCTGTTTGTAATATCAAAATAACAGCTTTTTACTGATTGCATATAAAAGTATATACGGTACCTATAACAGAAACACAATTTTTAAAATTTTTGTCTGTCTGTATGTTCCGGCTAATCTCCGAAACGGTTGGACTGATTTTGACGGGATTTTTATTGACAGGTAGCTCATGTTATAAGGAGTAACTTAGGCTAGTTTTATTTTAGTAAAAGTATTAGGGTTTCGCGCAATAAAATTAAAACCCATGAAATCCAACCGTAACAAATTACACGCGGGCGAAGTCGCGGGCAACAGCTAGTAAATATATAATAATCGATAATTGTATATGTATAATTGTATACAATTTTGTATTTAAATCCGATAGATACTTATAGCACTCGTGTAAATATTTGTGAAATTCACAAATTATTGCTTCGGACTTGAATATTTCGCAGTTGATCTTGTAGTTGTCATATTGTTACCGTAATTTTGAACATTTATTTTAATTAATATATATTCATTAGAAGAACAGAAAATATTTACAAATGAACTATCTTCCGGTTTTCTAATGAAGAACGCAAAGCGTAGCTTCTTGACCGTTAATGTTTACATGGTTGTGTTTGAATATCTCAAGTTAAACTAATGTTTATCCGAATTAAATAATTAGTATATTAAATACTAATTATTTACTTCGGAATTTGGATATACTCTACGTTTCCAAGTCTGCAAAAAATCTTGAAGTGGGGGGAGATGGTATAAGCCGCTGTAGTTCAATGAAAAAAAAATGTCTTATAGGTCAGATAGAAGGACCTATTTCAAAATACATTTTTTTTCCATTTGTCAATTATGATTTAACAATATAGAGCCAAATTGCGGCGGTTTTTTTTCAAAGGTCTAATTGGTATTATTAACTCGCACTTCTATTCACCAAGCCATTTAGACTATATACCTACAAAAGTATAAACAAACATACACATTATGTATATATGAACATACACTAGAAAACATTTCCGGCGTTCTGGGGCAGTCGGGTAAAAAAGCTTTTTTATATGGCCGTAATAAGCAAAGCAAAGGACAATAGGGCGGGAGGTTTTATTCATGTCTGATCATCAGTACGACTCTAATTTAGAGTCCCTGTAATGAAATGTCTGGAGAAATAGCGAAGGAAGATAAATCATGGACACAAATGTACTCGTCTTTTCTCCTTTTGTAATGGAATTAAAGCGCGAAACAAGATGAATTGTCCATTAAAACGTCCGGTCTCATTCCTTTCTTGTACTTTAATAGTGAAGGTCTATCTGTCTGTCGATAGACATAAGCAAAGCTTTGCTTATATTAATATACATTAAAACATGTAAATTTTTTTCTTAATAATAATACCGACAGTATTATTAATATTAATAATATTACCTTCAACCACTCATAGGAAGCTTAAGAGGAAATGCCGGTGGTCTTTTTTCCATTCAAACACTCTCGCCTGTTTTATTTCTGGTTTATGACCTTATAGCAATGAGGTTTTACAATAAAATAAATATCTACCTCTTCTATGTCCTTCGTTTTCCATTTTTGATAATACATTATATTTATAAGAACTTTAAAAGTTTCTAACTTGCCTATTAACTATAACACTAGGCCTTTGTTGACAGCGGTCTAGCTGTCAACAAAGACCTAGTGTTCAAATTTGATAAGTAATACAGAAAAAAAAGGGACACAGTGTATATCCTTCTTATTCAGTTTATGAAATATCTTTTAAATTGGTCCAATATTGAAAGAGGAAATGGTAGAGAGCCAAACCTCGAATTACGCCTTTTTACTTAGGCGATTCAGTCGCATCTGCATTTGTCCTTATCTTATATAGTTTCTTCAAATACCAAATTCTAAAGTCTCTCGGCCCGAATTTCCTCTTAAAATGCTTGTGTAAGGAGCAGTAGTTACACACGACAGTAGTCGAATGGCGGATTTGAACCCACGGTGTTTGAGTACGCGGTCCGCGCCCTACCATTAGGCCACTGTCGCTTATATCACTTAAACTCTGTAATGTTTCTTATATTTCTATAGTTTGTTAGCGTACACTGCTAAGTTATAGTCGAAAATACAAAATTATTATATGACGTATAAGCCAAAATTCGCACAAAAACTTGATTGTTCATAGTAAAGGCATTTCATGTACTGCGTAAGAATCTTAGGGAATATTGCTATAGGAATCAAAATGAACGTTGGTTACCAACCTAAATGCAATATTCCCATAACCAGTTGAACGACGCCTGTGAGGAAACAGAGCAATATTGCGTAGTCGAAATTCCTTCCTTGGATCTGTTCGTATGTCATTAGAGCTAGTAGTGCTGTCGGGCCTAAAGTAATATCCTTGCAAGACCCGAAAATTGTATAGACGAAGCAACCCATGAAAGACGAGTAAAGGCCATACTGAAAGAAATAATTTTATTAGTACCATATAAAACGCACCTCTTAACTGCAGTATATAATACATATATGTATATGGAATCAATATTCTGATGCAATAAAAATCATAGTACGGATGAATGGGACTCGCGGTTTTAGTGCAGCAAAAATTTTGTATAAAGTAAGTAAAACCACAGTCCTTCAATTTTAAAATACAAGAATGAAAATCTTTTAGACGATCGTAGCACGAATAGGGTGGCCCGACCGGGGTAGGACCACGCTCTCACAGAATACCTGCGTAAAATGGCAGATTATTGCCGAGTTTCGTATGGTGGGTGTAGAGAACCGGAGATCCTCTTAACTGGAAACGAAGCATTTCATTTTTTAAAAGCTTTTAGAAAAATTTACTTCGCAAATAATTTTCTAAAAGCTTTTAAATAATGGATTTCCGCAAAGTAACGCCTGATTCTATTAATTACATTTCATTTTTGTCTTTAGGGATGGCAATGCATCTGCATTTTGATTCTTAATTGAGTATAAGTGTAGATATCTATGGGCCACAGCACCCATTTACCATCAGATGGTCTTTCTGCTCATTTGTCACATATTGAGAGTCCCTCAGAACGTCAATAGCCATAAGTTATGGTACACATTAAAATGCATATCTGACATCTCTGACAATCGGCAGTGTGTCAGCCAAGCCAAATTCAGAAAAGAAAAAGGCAATACACCGTCAGTATTTAAATTTATATAGTCGTACGAAATCATTTCGAGCTTCTTACGAACCCCACATAACTCACGGTTTAGAGTTACACTTGTAATTTTGTACATCTAATAAGGCCCTCTTGAATAACTAGAGTTCGAAATATAATTTGATATTTCTATCACTTACCGATTCATTCACTTAAAAACCTAAACCACTTCTATGTGACTAAGAAACTTGTTTGGCATCAGGGTAGATTATTATTAGGCGTATACAAAGGAAAAGATCTAAAAACTGCAAACTATCGATATTCGTTGCCGAAAGTGTCGTCAACGTACAAGCACTTGACAACTAATCGCACCAATAACTTTGTTGAAATTTAATTATTATAGTACTCGATCAATACGAGAGATTTTTAAATATACTTCATGCATGCGTTCTATGTGCATGGATATTTTCCAAGCATAATACCACTTCAAAAAAGTAGTTATTCGGGCGTAAAAATCGTGTCTAGAATACGATATTTTGGCCCACGCTCGCCTTAAATTTAACTTTACTTTTACAGCGTAAACGCAAGAAAAACGATGAAGGTCGTGTATTTATTTAGAATAATAAAAGTATATTCTTTTTTTTTTTTCAAAAATTAATGCTCAAAGATAAATATGTAAAAATGCAAAGGAGTACGGTATAATCGGCTCTGTCAATAAAATCATTGATGTCTGAACGGTTAGCTTCATAGCAAACAAATTCTAAAACTTACAGCTTTTGGATTGTCTAGAAATTGCAATGGACCTTGATACATGTTCAGATCTCTTTTTTATACCAGCGATGCCGAGGACAACGGATTTCGATTACCGAATCTAACCACCTTTTCACATTTATGTTTTTGTTGGAATATTTTTAAAGAAACAGTGTAGTAACAATTAAATTTAAAAGTTCAGGTTAAAAACAATTGTTATTCAAAGTGACCGCCTTTGGCTTTGATACAGGATTTGACACCGAGGAAGGTTTGATTTGTACGTGTCTTGTGATCAGAAGCAGTCTTTCTAGAAAGCACACATACATTTCAATTTGACTCAATTTAAATTTTACGTGGTAGAGCCGTGCTGCAGCTATATTAGTAGTATAATTGTAGCACGAATGGGGCGGCTCGAACGGGGAAAGACCACGCCCTCACAGAACACCAGCGTAAAATAGCAGCTTAACGCTGCTGTTTCGTATGGTGAGTATAGAGAACCGGAGAGCATTTTTAGTGGAAACGAGGCATTCCATCTTAATCCTTATGGGTGACATCGCATCTTTTTAGCTGGTATTCTGTGAGAGCATGGTCCTACTCCCGTCGAGCCGACCTCTACGTGCAGCTAATATAGCTGCAGCGTGGCTATACCACGTATAAAAATAAAGATTTTTTTCGACGGAGACGACGAATAAGAGAGATAGACGGACGCTTAATAATTCGCGACAGAATCCTAGCGGTAATAGTCATTTCATGCGATAAGATGCGAGTATTGTTTCCTTTGGGGGTTACACCGAATTCTGGCTTCGACAACGTTCACAGGTAATATATCTCTATGGCATGGAGTCGACCCAATCTGTTATGGTCTTCGACGGACGAATAATTCGTGTTCCTGTCGATAGTAGGATACAGAAAACATTACAGCTGGTGCCACGCTTTTGAAATAAGACTGATAACTGATGACTTCATTTCACACACCTATTTCTTGTAAAGCAATCAATGCAATTATGTTTTCTTTAACGCCCCACTCCATATTATAATTTAAAAATTACGGTGAAAAATAATACGTGATATGGTGGTAAATCAATCTAATATATCTTCTTTGGTAATATTCTCGTACAGTTGTATTTTTACCAATCTAGTAACAACAAATTTTCCTTTATAATAATTTATTTACAAGTTCTTTAGGTATGTGATGCGTCACATTACGGAGTTTTTGGAAGATTTCGACGACCGCATAAGCCAGTAGATAGCTGATGACGATATTAGCTTTAATCGCAAGGCGCTGCAAAATAACTTGCGTTTTACATCATCATCGGAACACTTGTTCCATCGTTTCTACTAGTTCGCACACGCAAATATTTAATACACAAAATCGCCGCACTTCTAAGTATTAAAATCCACTTTTATTCCATTATTTAAACGACAATACAGGATTTTATATGCAGACCATACAAACATTTGTTCGTTACGTATTATTTTACAAAAGTATATAATATAAAAACATATAGAAAAAGGCGATTGGGTACAAAACAAGTTAAAAAAGAGAAATTGTTTTGAAATAACAGCGGCCGCCGTCGGAAACTTCAGAAAGAAATTTAGAGATAGCAACAATACACATTAATCTCACAAATACGAGGCAAGGGAAGCGAAAATATTTCGACGACATTTCATTTTTGATGCCAATGGCTTATTGAATAATAGGGCGCTAACATGCAAATGTTACGACGTTGTTATTCAAATTAATGCTCCCTAAGTATTCCGTGTCCTTATCTGCGTTGAGCATTCGAAATAAAAACATCGATGAATAAATTTACTAATGTTAATATACAATAAAGATTTATATGATATATATATTATGACTTCGATATTCATCTTGTGAAGTTAAATTGAAATGAAATATTGTTCAAGGAAATATTTAATATTTTACGAGATAGAACGCTGTTTACATTTCAAGTGACGGCAAAACCATGTATATTTTATTGTTAGAACACGCACTCACGAACACATAATATGTGTGTAATAAAATCGTATCAAAAAGCATTTTGCAACTAACATTATCGTTTATGGCGCATATGTGAATGTGTCCAGAAGTGGATTTTGTCCGGAACGTCCCATGTGATAATTGCAAAATGAGCGCTTACCGCTTACACAAGGTATATTTAAATGCATATTTTTGATTACTTAATTAATAATAAATTAACTAATTATTTAATGTAAAGCAGTGTGTTAGTTGCGAATGTGAGGCTGGTGCTTCTGAGTGCTAGTTTTTCCTGGCCCCATGGCCTTCGCGCATCGGACATCGGACACGGGGGCGTCCGTTGGGCATTTTAAGAGCGTAGACGGTCTGCATTTTTTCCATACAAATGTATTCCCCTATTATCTTCATGGATAAAGCCTCTAGATTAATCGGGTTTGTTTATAAAAATCTAGGTCTATTGTAGGCATGCCCCTGTCATTTATTTTTTTCCAAAAAATTATTACAAAAATAAATATGCCTTCCCAAAAACCCAAAAAAATGCCCCGTTTTTACCTCCGTAATCAGACAACTACCAAACAAATTTGAAAAGTTTTTAAGATAAAAACAAGTGATAGGAGCATAGATCTATTCTTTCTTTAAATTTTGATACCAAATATAATTTAATCGGCTTAGTTTTCGAGGAGAAAACAGGAGAATACGAAATGTCGATCGGTCATGGTTTTTGTAGGTAAAATCGTTCTATGCTGCAGTTGTCCCTATCGCACTCTACGGGGGGAGGCCAGAGGTGAGGGATGGTTAGACTAATAAGTACTTATTAGTTTAAACAATTAGGAAAGTGACAACTGTCGAAGTTTTTATCGATATCATAGTGATGTCAGTCGATATCGACGTTTATCCTATACTGATTTACAGGCGGCACAGAACAGTGAAATTATTAAGACAACGAAGTAACAATTCAGTGAGTTTACGTTTATTATTATTTGAAATGAACTTTAGCGAACTTTAGTGAAATAAAACGTAAGTAATGTTCGAATTCTACTGCTTGGTGAATAATTCTGCTTACTTGATTTGCCAGCTTTACTGGGGACTTTATAAAATAATGACTGCTCTTATCAAGTAAATTCTTAATATTTATTTGGAAGAAGAGGTGCTTGTGGGTATTTTAATTAAAAAGAAGTATATATATAATCAGTTATTTAATAATTAATATGTACATTTATTGTCGTCATTTCCATCCTTTCTCTTACGGGTAAATTTCGTGGTATCCGACCGTCAATTATTTCAGGAGAAGGCATTCGTGGAAAATTTTTTCTAATTTTGTTTCCATGTTTTGCCAAAATTCGTCATCTTTATCAATTTTTTCATATAATACATTCCTTGGGGCTCCACAAAACAAAGTAAAAAAACTTCGGCATGTGATGTACAATTGGCCTTGTACTTGATAATAGTAGTTGTGATTTCTTTTTATTAACTGTCGTTGTGGAGTATTAAATCGGCAAATGTGCAGCCTAAATGTTGGTGCTAAATGTTTGAAATAGCAGACAAACAAATATTTTATATCTACGACTCTGCGTCCTCATAACTTGTAGTTTTGAATTTCTTCATTATGGGCACCATCATCGTCATCACAAACTAAATACAAGTTATTGAGTGTAGTGGTCGACTATGAGGAACTTTTTTTATAGGGGAGGGGGCAAACGAGCATGCGGTTCACCTGATGGTAAGTGACTACCGCCGCAAGAAAACATCTTCTAAATCGCACAATGATGGACCGCCAATCATCTAGATGGTGTGGATGGTATCGGGAGTTCTGCCGCGATGTGCGTTCGTGAAATTTGGCGGCTGGAATTAATACGAACAATTCCTCAGAGCACTCCCCGTGGTAAATGCATAAGAAAATGCATAGAGATGCAACATCTATTCGCAGCGCCAATGAATCGAGCCGATCGGAAAGGACTCGGTCGTCGACGATTCGAGTCGCTCTGCGCTGGATGCGGTCAAGTCGAAGGAGTTGGCACTGGGGAGCCTCAGCCCAGAGATGGAAACAGTATTCCATGTGAGGCCGAACCTGCGCCTTGTAAAGTTGCAGGCGGTGTGCCGGCATGAAATACTGTCCCGCTCTGCTGAGCACGCCAAGCTTTTTAGAGGCCAATTAAGCCTTCTCTTGCCCTCGATTTCCCTGGGATCCCATCATCAGATTCTGACTTGGTGACAATGGGACCACCTCAAGAATGTAAATTTTCGAATAAAAAAAAGAATTTTGAAAATCGGTCCACAATTGGCGGAGAAATCGGTGAACATATATAAAAAATACATACAGTCGAACATATAACCCCCCCCCCCCCTTTTTTGGAAGTCGGTTAAAAAATTATAAAACAAGTGAAAGCCCTATCACTGATGGCAACCCCAGTCGGAAGGCGAATTTCAATTATACAGTTTTATAATATTTGATTGCCATAGAGATAGGCAATATATACCTATTTAAATGCATATTGTAATTTGACATGAATGCATAGGTATTACGAGCGTCCGCAACAGGTGGTATTTCATCTGCTGAGATGGGATAAATATGGGATAAAACACGTGCGAAACAAAAATACTAAGCATTGTCATTGCTGCTTTTAAATTGTTATCGTCTTATTATAAGGACCATCTTGAGTAGAATCCAGCCATGCCATTCAAAATTGACCACCTCATTGCTCCTTTGACCATAATAGATATGAAATTTTAATTACTTGGACTTGGACTTGTACTGTACACGGTGCAAAATGAAGCTTCCGTTTTATACGTAAAAACGTAAATGAAGGATTTTTCTCTTAGCACTCAAGAATAGACGCGTTTTATTCCCTTTTCTTCGACCCATTATTAACGAAAAACGGTTTACCTGAAACAAAAATTATTACCTATGGTATGATTATATTTGTAAGTTGACATTTTATCAAACAAAATTCAATAAATTAACAAAACACTACTTGTACATTACAAGCAGTGTTTTGTTAAATTATTGAATTTCTTTTGTCGATTTGAAGGGGGTAAAATGATAAAATTTATTTACAAATAAAATAATACTCACGATTTTTCTCTAGTCGTTGGAACAAATAGGTATTCAAATCCAATCCACAAGCCGTGTCAAAACAGTGAAGCAAAGAATCAAGTCCGTAAACATGGTGCGCGCGGAAAATGCGTGGTACCTACTGAGCTACGCAGTACGCACACAAATACAGATTATTCACTCACATATTGATACCTCGGTTGCTCGGGCGCAGTGCGACGGCAATAGTTTCTTCAAATACCTATTTCTCAATTCTCGCGCAGACCGACTACGCTCTTAAGGGGCTACTCCATGCGAACGACCTTGAGCATTTGACCGCTTGCTACAATATTAATATATTGTAGCGAGCGGCTCGCCGGAAGAAATATGTAAGACGCCACCTATTGTACGAAAGTAGTATTATTTTTTCAACATCAATAAACTATTTTATGGAAATACACATAGCGTACAAAGATAAATGTATTTTAATTTTTTTATTCTGTATATATTAGTTGCATTATATTAGAATTATGTATTTTCATATATTATCTAATTATGAAATTTTATAATTAATTATATATTAAAACTGAAGCATTGAAAATTGTGAGTTTAAAAGATACCTATTCACTATAGGTAAATAAATAGATAGCTCGGCTTTTGTACAAATATTTGGTGCAATAAAAAATAAATAAATAAATAGGATGTTTCGCATATGTGTTTTTGATTATTGTTAATTTTTACGTGTCACGTATTGAAAAGTTACCTACTAATTTTTGAACTTATGCTGGCAGATATTATCCTCACCCCAATGATTGATGAGGATGAAAATCAATTTTATTTCTACATACGTAATTATATTTATTTATACATAAGGGTAACTTTAATAAAGGTAATACAAAAATCAACAAGAAGTATAAGGGTTCAATCTTTCAATTACAGTTGTAAAAAAACGTTACCCCCACACTAGGATTTTCTCCTGTGTCGTGGAGGCAGTTTACAAACATAAATTGCACAAAGACAAACATCCAGACCCGGAACAATTATTTGTAGGCCATACAAATACTTGTTCCATGCGGGATTCGAACCCGCGGCCCCCAGCGCAACAACTGATTGCTAAGCCACTGCGCCACCATGAAGCTAATACAAAGACTAACTTTGTATTTGCTTCATGGTCGCCGGGTTATAGCTAAAGTGACCATACGTCCCGTTTTGAACGGGACTGTCCCTTTTCTCGGTCTCCTGTCCCATTGTCCCCAAACAAAGCTCCGGGACACAAAATTGTCATGTAACTAGTTGGATGGAAGTATTCAAAGTCAACAATCTTCAACATAATTTTTTTTAATCGAATATATTTTATGTCTACCTGGTACGAATGCTCCGGTAGAAAGAGTATTTTTTTATTTTGCATAAATTGTGGACGTCTGAAAGAAACACTTACGGTTCCAGAGTTCTAAAGGCGATGTTGTTAACAAAGATAACAATAAAAAACTTGAGCAGAATTTTATTCTTATTTAAAATCATCACCAACTTTATTAAAGCAAATTTAATCCACTGACAAATGTAATTAATAATTAAAAAAAATATGTTGCATTTAATAATTACCGTCTATACCGAATATAATTTTATAGTGAACACTAATTGTATAAAGTTATAGTTTTTAGAGTATAAATAAACCCATGTCCTGTTTTGAGTTAAAAAATAAATGGTCAGTTTAGTATTTTTAGTTAAATTTAGTTTTAAAAATTTTTAGTAGTAAAAAGTAGGTATATTAGTACCTACTTAGATACTTTTTACCGAATTATAAGTATAGAACACCTTATGTACTCAATTATTTTTTGAAAAAGAAGAAAAAACAAGCAATAAATAATATACTATATTTTAGCAAAAAACTATAACTTAGTAATACTAATTATAACTTAGAACAAAAATGAAAAACTCATAACTGACCTTTTTCCCGACCCAGGATTCGAACCCGGGACCTCATGATCAGAAGTCGCACTACTACAACCACTAGACCAACGAGGCAGTACTATACCTGATAAGATATTGTGGTTGGGTGATAATATTGAATTAGCCTTTTATAGTGTAAATTATAATATTTGTCGAAATTTTAATTATAGATTCGAACCTTACATGCTAATGGTGCTTCATTTTTTTATTTGCATTTACTTCAAAGAAAATACACGCAAAAAGCTTCATCGCGCAGTAAAAAACACAACAAATATATGTATAACTAATACGAAAAATTATACCCAAAACAAACAAATAATACTACCTATAAATAACCTAATAAGTAATAATATTATCGACTGATATTACGTGAGTGTATGCGGCGCTGGTCGACGCTCTAACGACACGGGCTTCGCGTCGAAGAGCTCAGGGCTCACTGACTAAGCAAGCCCGTGAGCAGTGAATATGCCCAGATTTTAAAATAATTTCTTAATAAAATCAAATTTTGGTCTTTTGAAAAAAAATTTACTATAGAAATGTTTATTAATAAATTGCCTATCCATTAGTGTAAATCGCAAAATAAAATAATACTTACTTTACGAGGAGATCCATGTTATCAATAACAATTTCACATTTATGTGGTTTCGTTGTAAGGAGATTATATTAATATTTATTCGATTAAAAAAAAATTGGATATAGCTTTTATGGAATCAAGATTATGTAGAAATATAATGTGTTTTTTATTTGTTGATATATCTTATAAATAAAAAGTAGATAGCTTCTAAAAACCGCCCAAATAACGACTGGCGCGACTTTTTGCTCAACCTGCGCCTTAAGTTGGAGGCCGAGGAGGAGGGCGCGCCATGTGTTCTGGTGCGCCTTACCTGAGAGGGAGATGGGGGGAGGAGTAGTCCTCTCCCGAGGGGCCGCCATGGTGCGGCCAGCGCAGGTGGGGCCGCGGATGTGTGCGAAAGCGTTCCCGTGGCCCTGCCAATATGCGACGAGGGTGGAACACCATGGGGTTTTAGTCGGTGCGAGTTCGACATAACCCGTCCTTGCCCCCGCGAGGCGGGTATGCGTAGGCATATCCCCATGTAAAAAAAAAAAAAGGTACACCCGCAGGAGAATTTGGCATTTTAAATTTTAAACGCAGCAATGAAAGGTTCTTTGCTACCTAACTTGTGTTTATTATTTATATTCGTATTTTATTACATTAACAATAAAAAAATAGTGTACCTACTATTTTATTCTTAGAATAGAAAAAAAAATTAACAGACACAATAAAAATAATAAAATAAAAAAGCAAAATAATAAGCGCGCCTCCGGATGTACCGACACTGTCTTAGTGAAGAGACTATATCAGAATCAGTATAGCAACAAGCTGAGAAGCATTTTAAATTAGTTCTCGGTTGTGAGAACGCATTTGTAACCCTCTTTGTTAATGTTGGTTGCAGATGTCCATGAGCTGCAGTTGCCACTTACCATCAGTTGGAATGTAAATTTGCTTGTTACTTTAATTTTATAAAAAAAATATGCTATAAAAATGCATTCTAGTGTAAGCCATATGTAAAATCTCCATATCAGCAACGGGGAACAGCTTTAAAGATATATCGTAACTGCGATCGACAGTTAGCCTATAAAGTATGTCGATTATGGCAAGTCCTTTCTACAATAGAAAAGGCCCATTTTCCAAAGGTGGTTACTGGTGTTACTGGTGAATAAATAAAAAGTAGTATAACTGTTCAATGACATATCAGTGGACTTGCGATGATCATGATGAGAGATGATTATTAAAGATTTAGTTTTCTTTGCCATATTAAATTTTCTTTAACAAATGTCACCAAAATCAAAACAAAAGTTGAAGTTTCTTTTAACGATAGTTTACGTCTTACTAAGTACCAGTTAAACTTGACTTGTTATTGAAAAACTTACATCCTAAACGGAGCAATTATATGGAGAAAAATATAATATTTTTAGGTTGACGATCTAATCCTTTAATTTTATTATTAAATATGATCCATATCCTTTCATGATGATGTCATCTGCACTCATATAAAATATACAATGTATTATTGTGATAAGAATTAATTATGTAAGATACGTACGTGAGATATTTCGAATCCCAAATGGACCGATAATTTATGAATTTTGAAACTCCGGTGCACTCTCTAAACGATGTCCGTAAGGCAACTATATTGATTATGTCGTAGTCGTATTGTAAAACGCTGTATTAAACGGAAAAAATGAGCGCTAGATGATTTTTACACTGAAAAGTAGTAAAGATTTTTATAGGAACGAACGAAACATCAGATTCATATGAACTTTTTTTGGTTCTCCTAATGTTTCATCAGTAACTTTATTATAGTTCGTAATCAATCTAGTTTTTTATATGGGCATAATTTTAAAGTTGCGAAAGATTTACCGTCGTAATTGATTATGTTATCGGTTTAGGGCAATCCTATAATGATAGTAGTAAGTGGATATAAATAAATAAAGGTTATGGATAGACGGATTGTCGATCGCATTACTTACGAAGAGTACGAGATGTCTATTCCACCATATTATGCGAAGACACCTATTAGTGAGTGAATGCCTAACGTCAGTTTATACTAAATCTTTAGCGAATACCAAAGATATATTATATACTAGATTGGCGATCGAGTGATTAGGGCGAGATCGAAATTAAAATATCTACACACAAGTGTGCGCGAAATGTGTATGTGTGAGAAACAAATATATATGCACCATGTATTTCCTGACTCAATTTCAATTATCGATACCGATTGCGGTATATTCGTGTTTTCTGATTTGGGCAAATAATATAAGTGAATATTTTTACCGGACTACGACGAAGATAAAAGCATGTTTACGATTTTAGAAGGCTAGGTATGTATGTATGTTCACATGTTCCATCAGATCTTATAAACTACTCATCGTATTTTGACAAATGAGATATCTTTAGAAGCATTGTGCCCTTTTGCGGGTTTTAGTCTGTATGAAGTCACATAAAAACTAACATGGCGGCTTATTGCGGACATATAAGTACACCCAAAAATTAAATAAATATTGAAATATCGTGTAAATAATGAAACTGCTAATTCAGAATGTCCTTTCCTTAAATACATGTTATAATAAATATTAACTATACATATATATAACGATGTATTAGTATTTATTATTTAACGTTTTCTTTTATAAAACTGACGTAACCAAACGAACCACTCGATGATGATAAGTGGCAGTAGCCTGCCTGCAGTAGCAGCCCATGGAAAAGTGCACCTAACTTCAAACAAAGAAGACTACGTCGTTGTCACCTCTAACGAATCATATCCTATATTTATTTATACCGGTACTAGGTAAAAGGGTGATACCTTACCACTTAGTTCATACAGAAACTTCATAAATTTGTTTATATAAAGACGCCGAAAAAAAAACGCCGTTCTTAAAAAAATTGTATACGTGTTAAGATGTGTTCCCTTAATGCATCTGTATGAGATAAACATTTTTTCAAAATACATAGGTATTTTGAAGAAATTGTACTTGCTGCAAATATTCGAATATTTTCTTTTGGGAAACCATTCTTCTATTTACCATTTTCAGGATATACTATCTTGTCTTAGTTTTTAATTGAATTTCAAACCGTGAAGTCGTGTTGAAATGCCACACTACGTTCCGTGAATCGGCGATAATAGCTATCGCACTTAATGAGGAAAGTGAAAGAAACAGCCGGAAGAGGAGATATAACTTTGGAACAGATCACGCGCACGCTGGGAGCGTTCATGTACATGTACATATAGTGATTGACGTTTGCGGATACGTATGAACAGAGACTGAATAACGGAGTGCAAAAAATGTAGCTCGCGGGCATCTCGTTAACAGCTTGTGAATCGTAAGCGCGCAGACAATGCGTAGCTGACGAATTGATAAGACCAACGAGTGGTCAGGGGACTGTGCTTTGTCAGAAGTGACAACGACGACGATGCGCTGGCAACGCAACTTTCACAAAAATAGAAATTTACAATAATAATAAGTCTCATGATATATAAATCTCAAGTTTCAATGATTTCTTACGAGTAGAGTCAGTGTGGAATCGATATGGTGTGCTACGATCCTATTTAATATATGTAAAAGTTTGTTTGTTCGTATTTTATACGCCGCCATACTGTTCAATAGATTGCGGTAAAACTTTGTCAATTCAAAGAAGGTTAAAGGTATAGTACAATTAACTTACAGTGGCGCGTGTTTCGCACCAACAAATTCATCGCAAAGTTATACATCATCATCATTATATAATTATTCCACATTTAAAACAATATTTTCACAATTATTTCTTCTGTGGCAGCAACGCGCCGGGTACCGGCTAGTTGAATATATTAAAGAATGTTGTTAGCATTAATTTTTATTGCAAACGTCGTACGAACTGTATACGAAATAATTTAAAGAACGTGAAACGAAGGATAATTTTCGTTGCCGACCTTTTTGAACGGTATTCGCCTAACGAAAAATTTTTCCCTCCCGAGGATAAAAGTTTGGTATTTCGTTCGTTTATATTTGAGAAATTTCTGTAGTTTTACGTCCAAATTTGTTAACGAAAATAATAAATAGGTTTAAATAAGAAACTTAATTTTGATATGTTTTGGAAAATTACATTTCACGTTTATTTATTATTCTTTATATATTTTATGTGTTTGCATATTACCTGAGGCGGAAGACCTGCGAGTGTAGCATACGCTAACGCTTGTGGTATAACAGTGAGACCGACTGTGATACCGGCGATGAAGTCAGCAACAGCCTTTTCAGAATTATAATTGGGCAGCCATTTTGTCACCGGCAGCCTTTTATACATGAGACGTTTGTACCACGTCTGTTTCTTGAAACGGTGTTTGGACGGAGACGACATTATTTATTGCTTCTTACCTGAGAATAAAGAGAACATTTTTAAATACTCAATGTAAGAAAAAAAAATTTTAAAGTATTTTATATAATACTAGCGATCCGCCCCGACTTCGCACGGGTGATTTCCGGATCTCGACAACAGCGCCGCCTACCGGGTCCAATTGTGTATTTAAACCATACAGTGACCCACTGAAACGCACATAAAAATTTATCAAAATAGAGACTAACGGACGACAATTGCTTTTATATATAGAGATTAAAGTGACAAACGAGTTCGCATGGTAAAAAGTTACTGCAACCAAGTACAAACAAAAGGAAATTCTTGTGCATTGTCGTCTCTGAGAAAGAATGAAAATGAAATACGAGTATGTACACATGCAATTATATTGTCTCTTCCTTCAAACTGAAAAATAACAGTGGAAACATGGCCGCTTGGCGACAAAAAGGGGTGAGAGGGTAGTACATATTTAAACTAAAAATGGGGGTGTGGGTGTCGCTCACAGATATGATTTTGGTCGAAAAAAAATCTGTTTTACAATTTACGATGTACTAATATTCATTTTTACAGCTGTAGTTAAGATCTAAGACTACATAAGTTTATAGCATTGCTATTGTATATTTTCCAAAAATCTCTCAAGTCTCAATCATCTCGATTGAGACTTGAGAGATATAAAATGTTTACCTGTTTTTGTAAACACAAAACGCGTCCGCTTGCTACCACCTAGTTCAAAGTAAAATGAAATAATCTTGTGGATGTAATAATATGAAACCATAGGTTTAGTTAGGATAAGTCTAAATACGATTTCTGAACAATAATTTATATAGCATTGAATTCTGTTTACTTTCTGCATAACAGTAAAATACATATGGTAATACCGTCGTGTCAGAAGGAAGAATAATGCTTCTTTCATATCACAGAAACACGAAGACGTAGCAATTCCATTTTCTCAACATAGTGCAATTCAGTTTTCCAACTTATTTAAAGTCTTTGCGGAAATCAGTAAACAAAGTATTCGTCATATATTTCAAAATACAATCATGTACGGTATTTTAAAATATATTAAGTTAATATATACATACGTGGTAGAGCCATGCTGCAGCTAATTAATTTTATAGTACGACTGGGTCGGCTCGACCGGGGAAGGACCACGCTCTCACAGATTACCAGGGTAAAATAGCAGCTTAATGCTGTTGTGTTTCGCATGGTAAGTGTAGAGAACCGGAGACCCTTTTTACTGGAAAAGAGGCATTCCAACTTAGTCCTCACGGGTGACAACGCATCTGCATTTTGATTCGCAAATGAGGATAAATGTTTTCTATGGGCCACAGCAACCACTTACCATCAGGTGGACTGTGTGCTCGCTTGTCTCCCTTATCCTATAAAAAAATATAGCATTTTTAACATACAATGTCAGAGTAAATGAAATCAGAGTCGATTTTTAATTGCTGAACAGTTTTAGATTGTAAAATAACTAGGTTATGCCTGCAGCTGCGCTCGCATGAAAACCGAAATGCTTATAATATGATAATTTATCGCAGTCTTTCGCTTTCCGTGGTAAAATGTATCAGAGCATGGTTAATTTATGTGCCAAATTTTCTCCTAATCCGTTGCCGTTTATGCCTGATTAAGTAACAAATATCTTCACAAACTTTCTCATACGTAATATGTGTAGAATGAATAACAGCGTAAGTTGACACTTTTTCTTTTTCTTATATTTATTGGCTTCACATCCTTGTATTGTAAATAAAAATAAATATTGAGGAAAATGAGATACAGATTAAAGTATATTTCCCTGTGTAGAAAATAACAATTTTTACATTGTAGAACAAAATAGTCTATATAAAAGGCGAAAGAGCAATAGCTTTAGCAGTTACGTACCCCCCACCTACTCTCAGTGGCCTACAAAGCAGTCCTGGCGGGATATTGGACCGTTGATTTAATTCAAGATCCTTTGTGCCGCACATTTCCAATTTCCTAATAAACGCTCTGACGCTAAGCACGACGGCCGAAAAACAAAGGCTCACAGAATAATTGTGTCAAACAAAAGGGGCACAATATTCGATCATCTTGTTACATTGCTGTCTACTAACATAAACAATACATGCTAACAAAGTTTACCATTTACATTTCGTGTCGGGAATAATGAACAAAAAGGCTAAAAGGGTAAACGTATATCGGTGATATCATCTCTTACCCGTTTATGATACTGTTATTTAGACAGTAAGAGATGTAGGTAACTCTCATTTTTTGATTGCAAACGTGACTTTAAACTTAACACTAATTGTTTTATAATGAAAGTGTAGCGATTATCGAGATCTAATTAAGTTCGTAGCTCTAAAGGCAATCGGCTCAAGATTGTGATAAGACAAAGGTGCTAATTATTTCAAACAAGATCTATAAATATAGAAGCGGTATTTCGGAGACAGCAAATGGTTGTTGATAATTTCGTTTATAAATAAAAATAAATACTAGGTAGTAATTACACATATATAGGTTACCGGGTAGTTAGTTAGTGATCCATCTGATAATACTGGGGTCGGTTCTGTTACGATAATAAAGGACGATGAGTAGTAAACCCACGGTTAACTGTATTGTATACAAATGTGTCGTCTCGGTCAGATGAACCCCACAATTATTACCTTGGATTTAGAATTATCATTGTCTCGTATGTTTGAGATATCAGGAATTTAACTATAGAATAATAATTTGGTTGGACGACCCTTGTATTAATAAGAATTCGTATAGAATATTACTTTATATTAGCACGCAAAAAAAAATTCCTAAATTATAACCATATACATATACGTGGCAGAGCCACGCTACAGCTATATTAGTTGTAGCACGAATGGGTCGGCTCGACCGGAGTAGGACCACGCTCACACAACATACCAGCGTAAAATAGCAGCTTAAGGCTGCTGTGTTTTGTATCAGTAAGAGTAGAGAGAGAGAACCGGAGACCCTATTTACTGGAAACGAGGCATTCCATCTTTGGCAGTCCTCAGGGGTGACAACACGTTTGCATTAACAGTATCACTACTGTATTACTCTAGTCCCACCTTTTTGAATGAAACATCTAGTAGGCAATAGAAAGTATATTTAGTCCAATAATATATTCTCCCTAAACAACCACACGTCCTGATTGACCATCGAATCACCTGGGGGCGGATAAACTCAGCATGCGAACCATCAGCGGTGAGGAGTTGAACAGGCGAGCTCTCACCGACAAAGACGCTACAGCTAAAACCAGTGACGGTGGCGCCAGAAGGACTGAACGAAAGAACAGTCCTTTAGAACCACTCAGCCTAAGCACCATTTCATACACACCTTCCAGACCATCATCATCACCGATACAATCATCACCTTCCATATCTTTATCACCCCCCATTACTAGTTCTCGTACAGATTCATCCCTGCCAACCTTGAATGTTCTAGCCGTGTAGTGGCGGTCAAGAATATCCACTACCCCATATCCTCCCGTGGGTGTCGTAAAAGGCGACAAAGGGAAACAGGCAGAAGATGGGCAGCAGCATCTTCCTGATAATAGCCAAAATTATAATAAAAAAACTGCGGTTGCCAACCCGCTCGCCAAGCGTGGCAACTATGGCAAATACCCCCCTAATGACTAAAGCAACAAACAGACGGTCCCCAGTCCCCGGCGGCCCCGCTATTCCTGGCTACGGTGGCGACCATGATAACGGCGGGGCAGGGGGTGCTAAGAATCTCCGGTGGAGGTTCGGTTGCCACCTTAGACGACTCGACCTGGCAACGTACAACGCACGCACCCTGAGGACTGACGAGAAGATCGTGGAGCTGGAAGAAGAGATAGACAAGTTGCGCTGGCATATTATATAAGTACGAAGAGAGGGGGAGGACACGGTAATCCTCGAATCCGGCAACTTGCTCTATCACTGGGAGGGCGACCATCTGTCCCAAGGAGGTGTCGGATTTATCGTCCACAAGTCTCTCGTTAACAACGTTGTAAAGATCGGGAGTGTGTCGACGAGGGTTGCGTACCTTATACTCAGAATCACCAAACGGTATTCGCTGAAGGTCATACAGGTTAACGCACCAACCTCGGCACACCCCGATCAGGAGGTGGAGGAAATGTATGAGGATATCTCTAGAGCCATGCATTCCTCCAAAACCCAATATACGGTGTTAATGGGAGACTTCAATGCAAAATTAGGCACAAGAGAGAACGGTGAGCTGAAAGTGGGGAAATTTGGAATAGGGCAACGGAACCCAAGGGGCCAGCAGCTGGCCGACTTCATGGAGAAAGAGGGACTCTTTATGATGAACTCTTTCTTCCAGAAGCGGCCCCACAGGAAGTGGACCTGGTCGAGCCCCGACGGTTCGACAAAAAATGAGATTGACTTCATTATGACGACCAGACGACAACTGTTCAGTGATGTCTCCGTGATCGCGAGGGTGAAAACTGGTAGCGATCACCGAATGGTTAGAGGCACACTGAACCTAAACGTTAAGTTGGAGAGGTCTCGTCTAATGAAGTCAACGCTCCGTTCCCCTCGTGCTCTAATCCAAAGTCCCGAAACCTTTCAGCTCGAGTTACAAAACCGTTTTCAGTGCCTAGAAGACTGCAATGAAGTGGACGATATAAATGACAAGCTCGTGGAAACTGTCCATGCGGTCGGAGCTAAGTTCTGCAAGACCCGCCGCAGAAGAACACAAAAACTCTCCGATCACACTCTTAATCTCATGGCTGTTAGACGGGAGATGAAGCTACATTCTTCAACAGATTGGACAGCATACAGGCAACTGAACAGACAGATCTCCAAATGCATGTGGCGGGACTTACGCAACTTCAATACAGCTCGTATTGAAGAAGCGATAGAGCGGAACCAAGGCTCCAAAGTCTTTGCCAGAGATCTGTCTGCCAGAAAGAGCCAACTGTCAAAGCTGAAGACGGAATGTTGCAGCATCGTTTCCGGGACACCTGAGATTTTGAGTGAGATTGAGAGGTTCTATGGGCACCTGTACACGTC